TGTAATTATTTAATAAATTAAATTACTATACAAAATATGTTCAACATAAATCAATAATAAACAAAATGTTTTATTCAGTTTTGAATTTGACATTTTAATTACCTACATTTAAAACATGTTCTTACACAGTACTATAATGATTTCAAATGACGGATAAACTGTATAATATATCTTGTGTATGCACAATGTACATACTATTATAGGTAGATACGAAAAATGTTATTAAAATGACAGCAAGAACATTATCGTGCACGTGCCACCATATTATTAAATGTTCTGTGGATTTATTGCGCTATAGACACGTGTTCTCCTAATTCTCTATCAAAATATATTAATTTTGCGATGTCGTTACAATAAATACGGGTACCTACTTTTTATACATGCAGGCGCGCAAAGGGATGAAATGTTAGCCCGGGAAATCCTTAATATGATCGTTAGATGTCATTTCTTAATTACAGAATGATTTATCTTGTACAGTATTTAATTAAGTAATTGATTACAATGAGTGAAATAGAATTGAAAATAGTAGTGATTTGCAGAAAGTGTTATCCTTTAGCCAAAAGAAAAATCCAATTTTAAAAACAAAGATACAAATAAATTACGATAGATTATAATAGATTAAATAGATGGAATATTAATTAAAATTGTTGGATTGATGGAATTCAAAAATTTCTTCAACAGCAAAATGTATTTTAAATAATACTCCATCAATGTATCGAATTTTGTAATGCGTAGGTTACAATTTAAAAATCAAAAGTAGGTAGCGGTTTTACCTCCAAAAATAAGAGTATAGAAAAATTACATACAATGTAAAACTATAAAGCTGCTTGTTTCTTAAATGATCAATTTCCGAAAAAAGTTAATACGCTTTCCGAGATAATGAGTGTCTTACGAATAATAATACTCAGCTTCTTTCTCAATTCATTTCCATGTTAAAATAACTGATTTGTTAAAATAAGTTTCTAGTATAATAGTATAAAGATATTATAGATTAAAAAAATAAATAAACAACAATGTTATATATTATAATCTAATTGCTCAGTGATAGGGTGTGGATTTCAAGGCAAAGAATTTTTTTTTTTTTTTTTGGTGATCTATGACTATGTAAGATATAACTGATGTAATCTACTTCGACATATAAATATAAATCTGAAATTTTCAACGAATACTTATTAGTTATAACTTTAACTTAATAAGTTTAATATCAATTAGGTCATACAGTTTTCAAATAGCTATTTGCAATCTTCGAATTTGTTTTAAGGTTCTTAAAAGTTTTATATTTTGAATTTTGATACTGTGTTATTTTCAATGTAATTCAGTGAAAATCTAACGTGTATACAAATTATAATTTGTTCTCGATTTTTCAAAAAATAAAATGTTATTATGTACATGTACTTTTATGATAATTTTTAAGGCCAGTTTAAACCTACCAGAGCAACCATGTCTGAGGTTCACACACTCATGACACGGATGTAATTTCGATAATATAAAGTCACCCCGTCCATGCAGACCATTCGTACGAGTCAACTCATCCAATCCTTTTAACCATGTATCAAAATGTTCGTACAAGAAACTATTTGTATATAGGATAAGTGGCGGCTATCACGTATCTAAAAATGTGCTCAAGTACCCCTTTCGCAATTGCGGCGAATGGATTGTAACTATTAGGTCTCGGACATCCAGACACCAGTATAAAATCACAAGATCTTTAATTTTTAACAAAATAATAATACGATGGAAACATAGACATAAATACATAATACTATATTATTATAGATTAATATAATATTAGATTATAAAAGAATCTACTATATATATATATATAGCCTAAGACGGATGGAAACACGAGAAACAAACATTTCCATGATAACAGTCAATATAAATAAGAAAATTATATTATTTTAATAATGATATTTTTAAACTATAAATAGAAACTGAATCGACAATAATTTGTGTTTTGAAATTGATAATACATATTGTAATTCATCGTTATCAAATTGGTTAATAGTTAATTAATTTTTAAGTAATAATTAATTTGTATCAATTTATTTTATGTAAATAATATTTTAAACTTTTAAAATAATATTTTCAGAACTACATAATTTCACTAAAAAAATCAAATAAGCATAGTTAGGTATATATTTAGAATAATTTAGCACATATTCATGTAAATATTTTAGTCGTATAAATACATATTTTTGTATCATAAACACATATAAATCCGAGCCCTGCAGTTGAATAAAATGTATTCACACATATCTAGTATTTAGTAATTAATAAACAATTTATAGAGTATTAATTATAGTACATTAGTACAAGCAGTTGAGTAACAAGGAACTTATTTTGGGGGTGATCTAAGTTTTTTCGAGTTTTTTATGGCAGTTTTAAAATATATGCATGATCAAGTAGATCTGTAGTCTGTAATTTTCCTTTGATTTTTCTCAAAATTAATTTATTTATCCGTAATAAAAATCGGTTATCGGTCAGTGATCTGACAGAAATTAGGGAGTCCCATCGTTCGCGGGGTCCTGGGCACGTGGCCAAAATGTCCAATGGGAAAGAGATGCCTGCATATACTCACAAAAATAAAATAAAATAAATATAAATATAAAATTAATGAATACGTCGCCTGGAGTATTATTATGATTTAATTTCATTAAGTATTTTATTATATTTATTAAATTATCATTCAATATTTCCATTAAATAAACATAATTATCAATACGAGCTTAATATTATGTAGCCCATCTCTTCTCCTACTATTGAGGTCAAAACATCTTGCCAACCACTTCATATTAGAACTAAATGGCTTGTTGGTAAATAAGCAATTAGCAAACAAAAATGTTTACATTTTAAATTCCTTCCTTGAGGTTAATTACTCTTTGCGATACGTCAAAAAGACTCTTCCTGTTCTCGCCTTAACATCACATTCTCTTGCAGCCAAGGGTAATTTTACTATCCAAACTAGTAAGCCTCCACCATACCAAACCAATTTCCAATATTTACTTCTTTTCCCCATCATTCATGTAAATAAAAACTTTCTAAATCACACTCGAACTTTTCTATTATCCGCACCACCCAATTATGAGAACAATATCTTTCTCGATTTTATCCATAACACTTTCCCGCTTTTTGTCCTAATTTTTACGGACGGCTCCATCACTTCTCTATCAGCTGGGAATTCATTTTAAATCCCGGACTTTAAAATTTCTTTCTCTAAAAATTTACCACCCACGGCATCTTCATTCACAGCCGAATGTTTCGCTATAATTGAAGCACTCGTCCTTACCGCCAAATAAGTTTCTCGTCGCCACTGACTCTTTGTCTTGTCTTCAAGCTCTCTCCTCTAATGTTTTCAAATCTCAACGTTCCTCTCTCATATTCACTATTAGACATATTTAATATTCTTTAACAGAATCGGGCACTGACATTCAGTTCATATGGGTACCAGGCCACACTGGTATTGCTGGAAATGAGTTCGCTAACAAGCTAGCTAAATCCTCTGCCTCCTACAGTTGCCCTTCAAATGCTAAAATTCCATGTTCCGATTTTATCCCCATCCTTAGTACTTGCACATCCAATATTTGGCTCAAATATTGGGGGTTCTCTCTATCCTCACTTCGCCACCTGTTACAGAAATATTTCTCGAACCATCCCGACACTACCCTGGTTCCACAACCTGAATCTTTCCAGGAAATGCATAATTTTATTCTCCCATCTCCGAACTCTCGGCCATACACTTCTTCCTTCTTATTCTTTTAAACTGTCACTGAACGACTCCCCTCTCTGCACACTACACAATAATACCGTTAATACCAGGTTTTTCGGTATACCGGTATTTAAAAATTTGTATGTCAAACGGTATACCGCTAAAACCTGTAAGATACGGTATACCAAAAATACCGTCAGTCCTATCCTATTCATTAAACCTACGACCTACGTCACAAATGTATTGTAATTAAGGTAACAGCAATCCTATTGTGTTACTGTATGAATGTAAGCACGACCGGACAAAATAATAAACGAATTTTAAAGGAAATAAAAATTATAATTTATTAATAGATCCTTAATTAAATTAACTAAACTATACCGTAGATTAAATATATCTCAATATATACAGGAAGGGCAAGATACTTGAAAAAAAGTATCTAGATACAAGATACTAGATACATTAGTATTTACTTTTAGATACAAGATACATTAATAATAAAAAAAAAATTATAGTATGTTTACCTATGATATCAGGTTTTAACTTTGTTTTTAATGAAAAAAAAAAAAACATGAATATTATTTTGAGAATGCCATATTACTTTTAAGTAATATTAAATTTTCAAACATTTTGTCAGATAACCTAGAATGTGTGAATGTATGTAACCAGCAGTAAAAAACATTTGTTCAACTAGTGCAGATGAACACAAACTTGTGTTATAGCAAATAAATCATTTGTTTACTACCTATCTAAAATAGACAAACACCTGTTCTTGTCATTGAAATAAGTAATTACTTCTAAATCAACTATGGATTTTGTAAATAACATTAGAATGAAAAAATAAACAAATCATGATTTGTATCTATTATCTTTAATCTTTACAAAAAAAAATATATACCTGCAACATACACCGCCATCTAGATACAAGATACTACATAGAATAATTAATTAACTTCAAAAGATATAAATATCTTATATACTCCCACTATTATATATATATAATAGTATATGATCTAAGCGGTATAGGAATATACGACCGTGATAAATTTAATTTATCACGTATACGACTACCCAAAAAGAGTTTTTATGATAAGTTATCAATTACCTAGTGAAAACGTTAATTATATGTCTGAGTAATACAAGCAGTTTTTAATTGTTTTAAAGTATTTTTACTTACTTATTCTTCTTTTTAAAACCTGTTTTGAATTATTAATTACGTTTTAACTGCATAATATAGACATTAATATTAGCCACCACAGCTATAATGCAAGCATAATATTTTAAAATTTTATTACCCGATATTTCTTATCAATATTCATTATCAATCAAATGCTCAGTAAGGCAGTAACTATATAGTTACATAGTCTTGTTCTGTAATAGTCTATGGTATTTTACATTTTTCATTCGATATTTATTTGATCTCGTACAGTTTTATTAAAACGGTATCTACCTATTTCATTAAATCATCATGGCCGGTTATCCGAACAAATCGAAATCGTCATTTTATGTCAAAAAATCTAACTATAACGTTTGTCGTTTTAAACTGCAACCAGGCGTCAAAGGATTTTTATGCACGTGTAGTTATGGAGAAAAAGACTGTAAAAAAGAAGCGTTCAACTTGTTAAGGGAATACAGTGAAGAAAAAGATGTGAGTTTTTCTTTTTTAATCAAATCAATTGATATCAAATAATTTTGGGTGTCGTACTGTCGTGACATGCTCCATTTGTACCTAAAGATTAGAGGGGGGGTCATTAATTCTAAGATGTATTAAAATCAATGTAGTTATAAATAATAAAAAGTAAAATCCAACCGAATAGTTTTTAATAAAAATAAATCAATTCAGTTTTATTCTATGATATAATTAGAAGTATCAATAACGCAACCAGGATTTTTTAAAGGAAGTAAAACATAATATAATATAAAAAAATACGGTTTTTAACATATTTTAATAAATTTAACTACTTAAAATAGGATAAAGAGGGTGTCCAGAGTTTCAGACACAGAACCCTCCCCCCCCGGTTGCATTATTGATAAGTACCTATTTAATACATCAATACATATTTACATAGGTACTTTTATCCGGACACTTCTTTTGAAAATAATTCTGTCTTACTATTTATATAATACATAGGTAGATATAGTAGTTAGCCATATAAAATCTATGAAATAGGAATACATTATAGTTAACAATAATAAAGTTCATAATATTATTGTAAATTTTTTATGTTTATGATTTATAAATTACGATAAAATATTTATTTGAATTTGTATTACCATTAATACCATATTACTTATCGTATTTACCACCGCGATGTTAATTTATATGTCATATTCTATTTATCTGTTGATGTTATTGCCATAATATGATAATAAATTGATAGCAGACAATCTATTATCATAGATAGTCTGTATTCTGCAATTCTGTTAAATAATATTTAGTATTTTCTTCTGCAAACAATCTAAATTTGACAATTACATCCGTATTTTTAATTGAATTAAAGCATATCTAAATATTTTTCGTTTTTAAATACACTTCTATACGCATTGCATCAATAACCTTTTCTTTTCAAAATTTCACAATGTCTACAAAATCAGTTTTTGTTACTGTTGGTACAACAAAATTTAATGACTTAATTTACTCAGTCACCAAACGTCATACTCTTGAAGCTTTTAAACGTAAAGGTTATACAACATTAATAATTCAAATGGGAAACAGTACAATTGATATAGAATCATCTGATATAATGAAAATTTCAAGTTATACATTTAAACCTGATCTTGGATCTGACATAAGTAATAGCGATCTAGTGATAAGTCACGGAGGAGCCGGGTCCATAATGCAAGCATTAGATCATGGGAAACCATTGTTAGTGGTAATCAATGAGGACTTAATGGACAACCATCAGTATGAATTAGCTGTGAAATTATACGAAGAGAAACGTTTGTACTATACAACCTGTGAATATTTATGTGATTGTATTGACAATTTAAACTTTACTTTGTTAAACTCAATAAAAATTGATAATTCAAAAAAAATTTGTGAACAAATTGAAAGTTTTTTTAATGTTCAATAGTTGTTAGTTTTTAAATGTATAAACATCATGTGTCTGATAATCTGTAGAAATATATTATAATTTATTTTATTGATTCTGGTTTTTATATTTTATTTGTCTTTCTAAATAAATAATTTTCAACACCTTCAATATTTTTCTTTTATGACTACACATACTCAAATTATGTACAGTGGAACCTCAATTATCCAGGGTAATGGGCAGGGAGTCATATGGATAAATGAAAACTATGGTTAATTGAGACTTTATAATAATGAATGATAATAATAATAATATAATAATATAAATATAAATAAATAAATCTACAATATTGTTTCTCTTAAATAATTACATATTTGCGATAAAATATACATGAACATATTGTTATCATTAATACATTATATTGTATATTATGTAATATAAAATGTTCGATTATAACTATTTAGTATTATGTACAGTCCATTGTTATTTTACATTTTCGGAAAATTGAGGCGCCACTGTAAATTGAACATTTTTTTAGCATATCAATTAATTATTAATTAAAACCAGTAGCGTATTTGACTTAATTTTATGAGAGGGAGCAACTCTAAAATTATAATTATACACAAGCTTATATTCTACCCTATTGATTTTACTATTAAGTGTTTTAGATTCTGAATAGAGAGAAGAATTTATTGCAGGTTTTAAAATAATGTTTTTTTATGTAGATAACACTTTACTTTTCAACTCTGATTTTCAATGACAGCACTTGTTTTTGAAAAGAAATCTGACTGGAGAGGTACTTTAGAGAGGTCATTTTTCCCAATAAATGGGAAAACAGGAAAATAGGTACAATATTAAACAAATATTATTAAAGAAAATATATACTGCATATGCAATTATTTTACCATTTGACATATATATTGTTGACAAAGCAACACTATCAACTGAACTCCACTCAGAATTGTTATTTGTGAATAATGGTTAATCTTTGCGTACAGATATACATTAAATTTCCCAACTTCTACCTATGTGTGAAGTATACCAGTCTTTTTATTTTTGTATCTGATGATGACTCTTTTCTAGCAAAAATAGTGTTAAACATTCAATTTCATAGGAGATACTGAGATTTTTGTATATATAATATAGTAAATACCTACACAAATTAATTGATACACCACTGATTATAACTGAAATTATTTACTCCCAATTTAGAAACCATTGGAAGGTAATACCAACATTGTGGAAAAATCTACAGATATTATGGATTCTTTAGACAGTGAATTACAATGCTTGTCTAAGAAAGATAATTCAGATTGGAAAAAGTTTTCTCCGTTGGCTACAGGTGTTAGAAACTGTGTTTTTATTAGTACTACTGTAAGTTGTTCATATTATTATTTCTTACTGGTAATATTAAAATGTATTTTATAAAAATTTCATTTTATTGATAATTCATTGTTAGATTGAAGATCCGTGTAGTCTTATGTATAAAATACTTGAAGATATAGAAAAGACCAAAGTTCAGAAGACAAAATTTCTTTTACGCATGCTCCCAGTTGATGTTACTTGCAAAGTAATGAACAACCATAACATTATTTTACACTATTACATCATTAATATTTTTTATATTCATAGTCAACCGTACCATCCATATCAACAGCGTGCACAGATTTATTTGCTAAACATTTTAGTACAGAACCAACAACATTTGCAATTGTATTCAAGTAAAAAAAAAAATTATCACTGTATTAATCTTATTATATATTTAATGCTGTAAATTTTAGTCACAGATATAACAATTCAGTGCCGCGTGATAAGTTGATTGAAGAATTGGCTGGTAAAGTGTTTAGTTTGGGACAACATACAGTGGATTTATCTGGTCAAGCTAAAATTACTATTATTGTTGAAGTATTGAAATCAATATGCTGTTTGTCTGTAGTCAGAGATTATGGTAGATTTTTCAAATTCAATCTACTCTCTGTCTGTGGTCTACCTGAAAAAAGAACAGCAGAAGGTGAAAATGGTAACTTTTAAAATAACAGTGAAATAATGATATTTCAAATATTCTATCAAAACACCTATTTACATATTTGTTATTATTATTAAATTATTTTGTGCCTAATGTTAAAAAAAAAAAAATTGTTATAGAATTTATGTTAACAATACATTTAATTATTTCAAAAGAATAATTAATTTAATAATACAGTAGAATTTAAGAATTAATTATTCTGGACCTAAAGAACGGAATTATATACATTTGCATGTTCTCATTGAATATGCACTATTTTAGTGTATCAATTTAAGCCAATTTCATGGACATTTTTTTTTACATTTTAATGACATAATTATTTAGTATTAATATTTTATTATCAATTCAATGTCTTATAGGTAAATTTTATCTTTCAAAATGTAAATAATATGTTTACAATTTACCATTAAAGTTAAATTTTTTTCAAGTATCTAATTATTTATAGTCATATTTGGATACGTTTGCAACACAGTTAACAGCTAAGCTGTTTTTAATTAGCAAATAAATAATTGTGCGGTTAATGGATCATAAATCTACTAAATAATAAAAATACATTTTATTTTTTTAGTCTACAAAAGTGCAATATTTTTAATGTTTTTGCGCATATTCTGTAATTTTATTCTGCAAATTTATATATTTAGCAACTTATATAATTCCGGTCCCTAACCATACCAAATCAATCAATAAAAAGTTTACTAGATATAAATCTGTTTAAACTATGAATTGAATATATTATAGTAATGGATATAATAATATTATTTTATATTGGATTTTAAATATTTAAACTAGGGCTGGAGTAATTGAAAACAAATTGCTTTTTAATCTTTTTAATGTTTTAAGAATAGATAACTTAAAGAATTTAATTTAAATTTATTGTTAAGGTAAGAATGAAAGTAGTTCATCTCCAAAAATAAAAAAACTTGATGAAAATGATCATATCAATGAAAATGATAATGAACAGAGTGAATCAGTTGAAGAAACTAAAAAACAGAGTGAAACTGTTGAAGAAAATATAAAACAAAGTGAAACTGTTGAAGAAAATATAAAACAAAGTGAAACTGTTGAAGAAAATATAAAACAAAGTGAAACTGTTGAAGAAACTAAAGAAATTCCAGAAGAAAATTAAATTACTATATTATTTTTAAGCTACTAAAAGCATATTAGTAAATTTTATTTTTATTTAATAATTTCAATTTGTATAACGTCATGTTTTTCTGAAAATAACAAATTAAATACTGAATAATTATCTGATTAAAATAAAATATATATAAAAACATAAGTTATATTATTATGTATTAGCAATTCTATTTGTAGTATACAAATTTTGTACCATTTGTGTTGAGAAACATAATATAATGGATAACAATGGATACAGTGGTAGGTCATGCTAAGTTGTAGCCACACTCCCTACTTAAATTTTAAAACAGTGTTTGCCACATATTGGACTGATGATTTATTGATTCATTTGCTTATTGAACTCAAATAGGTTGGTTCAGATTAACAAATATACCTAAAAAAAAAAAACCATTTGTTCGATTCACAACACCGGTTAATAGGATAATTTAACAATAAGATAAATAACAAAAATATAACAAATGTTAGTTGTACTAGTATCTTGTTATTGTGGAGATAAATTAAGTTATCTATTCATGATTAACCAAGCAGTTAACCAAGTTAGTGTACCTATGCAATGGTGTTGTGTTCATTTTGTGCTGCCTAAATATTTTATTATTAAGAATCGCTTCTTATGTATTTAAGTAACATGAGACCTACGTACGAGAATTACTTAAAAAAATTACTGAAGACTGGAAAACCTAATCAATTCAGGATAATTTTCTATCAAAAATAAATTAGGAACAATAAACAAATATGTACATACAATTTATTAATTCTATTAAGTATGTATATTCATATTAAAGTATATCTCAATAAATATTTAATTTATTCACATATTTATATTATTTTTTGAGGGGCCTTATTAACTTATTCGGTTATTGGACTCAAATAGTTTGGTCTCAAAGTAAGTCCAATAAGTGACAACCACTGTATATTGCAATTTACAATTGTCAGTTATACTTGTTATCTTAAATAGTAATCATCATAGTTTCAGTCTTACAAAATAATTTAAAAAATTCAGTATTTTAATAAAAAATGATAATTGAAGGAAAATTTCATCTTAATCTGGAAATTCTAATGTGATGAGAATAATCTATAAATTGAACACAAGCCTCAAGCAACCAACTTCACATAGTGTTATTGGTCACATCCTCGTGTAATGTATCAGTTTGTGGCACAAAAAAAAATGAATGAATGTTGTATTATATAGTAATATTGATAAGGTTAAGATCATTACTCTAGTCAATATGCTTAGGGAAATTCTCATCACATATTTTCAGCAACGATCTATGCTTGTGTTTACAGCGTGTTGATTTTGATATTGTACACATCTATTAATATTTAATAGCCAAAGAAATTTCAATTGACAACAATGGTTGTAAAATGAGAATTATTTATTTTAACAAATCTACTTTGTTAACAAGTATAACATATTATAAGTAATATAAATACTATTATTGGTCTGTATTGCTGAAGTCAATTTTTACAGGTGTGGTAAGGTATAGATTTGGTACTTAACTACATATAATGGCTAAGAAAGACCACTGTCCCTTCAAAAAAATTGTATCACACTACTATGACCCGCCCCTGATAAAATATTAAATGCCATTGCGAAAGCTTACTTGAAAAACAATTGTCAGATTTCTGAGGGTGATTTGTGGATATCTAAGAATACAATCAAGTTAAAACACACCTTTATTTTACATACAGTTGAGAATATTTTTTGGACGATAAGTTAATATGTATGCTGTAATAAAATTGAATTTTCCTCCAAGTAACTTTTAGTTGGCCTTTTCATTCTAGACAAATGCTGAACTAAGTGCAGACTAAGGCAATCCTCAATATAAAGAATTATTTAACTATTAGAATTTTGAACCTAATTAAATTGGTATAAATGTTTTTAAATTCATAGTTGCATAGTACAAGCTGTCCAGCACAGCTTTACTTATACTTTGCCCCACAAGAGAGCAAGCCACGCAATAAAGAAATTTGATCGGCTCTGCGTATACCCTTGTATACATGTCGGCGGCAAAATTTTGAATACATAAAATAGCCTGTCGGTCAACGAACGATGTGTAGATCCGGCATGCTCTCTCATAGGACAGAATATATGCACAATATTGGAAAAAATAAAAACAGCATTTCCCCATTTCCACTTCTGTTTTTATTACAGTTAAACATTGTTTTAAAGTAATTTATTATTTTAAAAAGGTACATTAACCATGACAAATAAATCAACTAACAAAAATAAATTTTTCATCTGTTTTTAGTTAAACTATAAATTAACAAAAAAAAAATTGATTTTCATTCCAAAAATATAAAAAATCCTTTTAAGATTTTAAGAAAAAAATGAATTTGATTTGGACGTTTTTTAAACATTTTCAGCAATATTCTACTTCTTTCTTTCCACTCTTTACTGCTTCAAGGACTCTTGTTTTTTTCCAATAGTAAACGTTACTGATAATATTGAATGTAGTAACAATAAATCGAATAAAATGAAAAATACATTATGATTAAACACAGCAAAACAATAATATTAAATTATTGGTATGCACAAACCAATTAAATGATTGTAAAAAAACACCAAAAAATTGTCTGTATTCAGAACACATAATGTTAGTTATCAATAATTTTTCTTTTCGGTTAATCAAGGTTTTCACAAGAGAACAGGATTTATTTGACTCATCAAGATTCCACTGTATTACACTGTAATTGTTTACTTACTTTACTTTGAACAGGTAAAAAGAGTTTAAATTCTGCAGGCAATTCATCTTCAGAATATAATCTATCACTAAAGTAAACTCTTCTGACTCTACAGTTGGCATGTAATTGTACCCTTAATGTTTCAACATAACCAGTGCCATAAGCACGTCTAGTAAAATCTGCTAGATTAAACTGTATCTGATTCCAACCTTCATCTAGCCGCATTGGCATTGTACAAATAAATGGTTTCACCCTTGTCGTTGATTGATAGTTACTAGCTCGAAATCTTCGTCTTATGTTTTTATCATCAAGAATCTACAGAAATATAAAAATGGACATTGTATTATTTACATTTTATAAAATAGCTATTTAACCCGAATCTTTCTAATCTTACCTGTACTTCAAAAGTAAAATATTTCTTCATATTTTTTACAATCATAATCAAATAAGGTAATTTGATACCCAAAGTTTTGGTTTTTTCTGCTGGACATGTAATGTAAGTCGTACTAATGTTTGTACCTACAATATCTAACACTAATGACTGAATGTCATTGTCTGTAATACGTTTGATGTGACCATTTCGCACAGTCTTATCCCAGAGTTGTAAGGGCTTACTGCCTATACTATAAAGTATAGACAAAAAACCACTTTGGAATGTATTTTTAAACATCTTACTTGGATACGTACAATTTACTAACAAAAATTAATACCACACTAAAGGATATAAAAAAATTGAGTTAGATCAATGTTCGATAAAAACAAACAATAGTGTTGCTAAGGTAACATATTACTAATTTGAATTAAATCCTTTTTTTTTAAAATAAATTATAACAATGGGAAAAAATAATAAACAGCAATTACAGTTACAATGACCAAGTTATTATGGTAGGTACATTTGATAATTCGTCCAAAAAATTATAAAATTTGCATGACACTAAAAACATTAAAAACGAATAAATACGATATTCAAATATTCGAATTCTATTACTTATCTATGCTCTCGATTCCGTATACAAAAAATCAGTCCCTCTGGATTAGTACAGTGGTGATAGATGATGTTAAAAATTCCCATTCACCAATTCAAAATTTCCCTTTTTAAATCACAATTTCTCTGAACACAACTTTTATCTAGACGTGACCCATCACTGCTCGCGTCACAATTTCTCGAATAGGTGGATATTTGTATCTACTAAAAGAGGATTGAAAGCGACGAGTTTCTGTCTTTGTCTTACACACATGAGATGTAGGAATTTAGACGTATTTTATTTCCAACGTACCGATTGATATAGTGAAGTGATGAGAATTCTGAAAGCAGATTTAAATTTGTTGTGAAGTCTATTTGAGATCGACTTTATAATTTTTTTAATTTTTGATTTTAATTTCTCAAAAAATTAAAATAATCCATTTTTTCAATTACTCTTTAACTAGTGTGACTTTTTTTAGAATTTAAGGAGATAACTTTAAAAAGTGAGAAAGTTGATCTCAAATAGACTTCACGACAAATTCGAATCCATTTTTAGAATTCTTATCCCTTCACTAGATCAATCGGTACTTTGGAATTAAAACACATCTAAATCCCTATATCTCACGTGTGTAAGACAAAGACAGAAACTGGTCGCTTTCAATCCTCTTAACTTACTTAGTCCTATTCTCTAGTCTACGGTCTTAGAAGATATTAGTAAATGATATCATGGGGAAGCATTGTGAAAACCATGGCTATAGATAGAATCTAATATAACCTCAGAATAATATTTATTTTCTTTTATTAATTATTAATAATTATTATTACACCATGATGAAAACAGATCCTCCACTGCTCTCGGTTTAAAAAAAACACATAAAATTACAAGGGTATAATGATAATAAAATCGTCACGCCCAATTGTAGTTTACCCAATATCATTGGCTGTAACATTTTGCCGCCAAAATACAAATTAATAATAGTTCCATATATTAAACTAATAATTATATGGTATTAGCGATTATTCATATTTTTTTAGAAAATTTATGCATTATTTTGAATCATATTTCAATTATAAATTGTATTGCTCGTAAAATTATGCATTAATACATGTGCATATTGTGTGTATATTTCATAAATATTCTTTTTATACTAGAATAATTTATGAATTATATGATAATATGAATCATGGCTAATGCTATATCTAGCACAATATCCATGTTAAAGTTATGATGATTAAGTCAAAATATATTTAGTATCTATTATAATATAATATCTATGTAATATATATACATATATATTAAGTATAAACCCTACATGATTTTTTTGTAAAGATAAAGATAAGGCATTAGGTACGTCGGATTCAGAGCGAAGCAAGTTTGAACCAGAAACGTTTGGGTGATTAATAAAATTGCAACCCATTTGAACCAGGATTTAGTGAACCCGTTTAGATCAATATTTTTATTTTTCTATGAAGGCTCGCTAAATAAACGTTTGGTTAAACGCTAATATAAGGAAAATTCTGGTCCAAACGGGCTGTATAAAAGTAGTATTTTTTAGCCCATCTTCAAAATTGGTCCAACCGGATCCTGCCCCCCAATTCAATACTTATAGTTACATAGTCACATGTAATAATAAATGCATACTGTTGTGTGTGAGACTGAACAACAACTGTATTTTATCGTTTTACAAATAAAATAATTGAATTATCTCCTTGCTATCTTAAACATAAGCAGTTTGAAAGTATATCAAATATCGATTCGATTTTATTTTTTTATATACATTGTAGGTATATTTATAACCATAAATCGTATCCCATCACCATGTCAAATAATGTCTACACATTGTGCACATTTAAATATAATTTAAATAATAATTTCATATGGTTCAATGGGTCATAGTTCCGAATAATGCATTTATTTTCGGATTTTCCTAAATTTTTTATATATTTATAGACTAAATTACTTAAACTTTCCAGGGGACTTGAATCACTCCAATAACCGCTTATGATTGCCACCTATGAACATATTATATTTCTAAAATGGTTCAAGTACCTATACAGTATACATATAATTAATCAATGTTTCTTCTATTTTGACTGTTGTCACGTCCTGGTGGTGGCGAAGAGATTATATAACGCTAGTTCATCCGCTTGATAGCAGCACAGATATTTAACAATTCTGAGGTTATATTTAATGTGCATACCAGTATCTACAGTATCACGGTTACCCGCAATTCGTGGTTCTTATTCATTTTTTATGCTTATCTCGATATCGTAACGAATTACAAACGCCTACGCGGTCTGTAGACAACACAGACGCCTCAGCTGTAGTTGGTCGTTCTTTTCCTGTTGACTGTTACGGATTTGCCGTTATTTTATTCAGACGTCGCTGGACGGAAATTGCTTAACTTGCCCATTTTTCTAAAAACCACATTATTCAACACTGGCGTTGAAGGTAAGTGCAAAACGTTTACTTAATGCTTACACACCATCGTGTATAATATATAGGTACAGGGTTCGCGCGGTTCATTTTTTTCTTCGATCAAACTAGGGCAGTGTCGTTTTGTGTGCTACTTAAGAATTGCGGACGTTTCGCCAACACTGTTTCGTATCCGTGCAAAAATACGGATTAGCGAAGTTTTGTCTCCGGAAATTACTGACTATAGAAGGCTTCACCCGGTATTTGCGATAAACTGCAAATTTTAGATGTAACGAGGTCATTGGGCATCACAAATTAAAATATCTGAAGTCGTGTTAGGCACCAAACTTTTTATGCCGTACTATATATAATATACACCATGCATTTCTTACATATCGAATACAACTAAATATAAATTATAAATAGTAAAAAAAATATTTCCTAAAAAATATTAGGTATACTCTTATAAGTTATTTCTAAATCAAATTTGCCTTTATATAAAATAGCAGATAAATAACAATAATAATAATAATCTATCTTGTGAATTATCACACAAAATGTGATAAATTTTGTTTGCCGGTAAATCTCACAGGTAATGCATAATGCATAACCTGATATTTCATTCAACTCTTTCGAATAGGAGTAAAAATTTAATTTAATTTGTATAGACATTAAAAGCCGGACGTCAAAAACATGAGTCATAATATATACCTATATTAAATATATTATACATTTTAAAAAAATAACTAATAATAATAAAAAAAAATACTCTGTTAAATAGTTCACTGATAATTAAATGTAAGGTTTAACAATACATATAAAAAGGCTGAAAGGAGAGTTTATATATAGGCAATTAAACGTGGGAAATGCAATCTAATTGAGGATATTTATTTAAAATTTAATTTATTGTGTTTAATTATTTAAATTTGACCAACGGTTAAAAATAATACCGGAGACAAAATTTTTGCTAATGACAGAGATGAAATGGTTTAGGCTAACGTCTGTTTACCCTACATACATGATCCTACTCTGCACGCCATAATTAAATTAATTACATTAATCATAGAACGGATATTTAATTTTGAATTGTTTAAACTTGCACTCAGGAATTATTTTCTTATGTATTTTTATCCATACCAGGTGAAAACATAAAAAAAAACCCAAGATGATGAAATTGTTAGTGATTCTACAAGCCATTCTTGTTGGTAGTTCTAGCGGTTTTATTTACAAAGATAGTATTGATTTCGACGAGTTAACAGATATTTTTGGTTTATCAAACTGCATTGAAGGTAATTTGCTGTGACCGTTCACTATGCTAAGCTAAACATAATTGAAAATTGTATGTGCTCGGTTTTTTTTTATATAAATCATGGTGCTCATTATCGCATAAAACAGGGTGGCTATTATTTGTTTTATATAAACCTAATTATTTCAGAATATTTGTTAATTTAGTAACAATTTCTTTCTATTAAAGTTGTAATTTAACCTACTTCAAAATAAATCATTTTTATGATTATTATTCCTTCTTTATAGATTCTTTAATGAAAACCTAAATATACTTCTGACCTTATAACTGTTAACATCAATACGTTTTATTGATGATTATCTGTTGTTTTGGTATATCAATATCCAGTATCTAGTAAATAAATAACTTAACAACTTAATTGATTAAAATTAGGAGCAGTGAATACAAGTGGTATGGTAAAATATTTTGTAATTAACCTTAAATTACTTTAATTCTTATTATAATATATTATAGATTTTTTTTTTATGGTTAGTTTACAATTTATAATTTTCTTTTATATTCATCTTGATCCTTAGTCAACCTTTTTATTGTTCATGTCTTCTTTGTTGTAATGATATATGTGGATTTCTTGGTCTTCCAGCAAATTTTTAACCTTGTATTGTTTCTTCAATTATTATGTAATGCAATTTTTCTCCACTATACAAATTTTCTATAGGCATTTCTATATTGAATCTATTATAGATAATTCTTACTTTCCCAACCTGAGTTAGACTATCTTTATTAGTTTTTCTTTAGTTAATATTTCAAAAACTAAAGTTCACATTAAACCCTATTAAATTGTAATTTTAATACCTATTCAAATTTACTTTAGGTTTTAATATGAAAGTAAAATATGAGAAAATAATAATTTGTAAAATTTGAACTAATGTAAGATTATAAGAATTGTGAAGGGTTAGGTTTATTAATACTCTACATTTAAAATTTTACTAATCTTTCAAGAGTAATATATACCTACCAGCAATCTTCATTACTAATTTTTTGTTTTTATATTAATATTATACTTGTTTAAAACAATTTAAGTATTTAATTTTAAATTTGAATGATCTCTGTTTATACTATTAAAACAATACTTGATTTTCATAATATAGGCATGCACTAAATGGGATGTGGCAGTATGCAATATTCCAAAATTTATTTGCTCCAATTGGTGTGAATAAATTATCAAAATTAATATACATTTTTGGTAATAGTTATATTTCTGTGATTATATTATCAGATATAATATAATAGAAGGCATATTTAAGGTTTATCTATGATTATTTACTTATATTAGTACTTTCTAAATGTGGTGTAATTTTCAAAATATTCCAGTACTAGGTATTTGAAAAGTTTTTCTTTTATGTGAATAGACATTTTTACAATTTAGTTTTATCAAGTTTTAATCAACGCTTAAAGTTTCAAAGTTCAAATGTATGTATAAATTAGTTAAAAATATAAAAAAACTGTAGTTTATTTTACTTTTAAATACAATTTTCAATTAAAATTTATCAAAACGTGATCAAACCAAACTTGTTTCTGAGTCGTTTTTTTGTTTATAATAGTTTATCATTTTGTATAGATACAATGGCCCAACTATAGTAAGAAGTACATTGACTTTTAAAAAAAAAATGTTTAAATTTGTAGCATCACATGTAATTTGTTTAATCCCTGCCTAGTTATTGATTAATTCATATTATGCCAAATTCTGTTATCTTTGGGTACTAATTTATTAAGTTAAAATCTAAATTTAAAAAGTAATTGGTAATAATTAAGTATTTGGACATTTTGCACATTTAACTTGTATATTTTTATTATTATATATAAACACGTATTATTAGGCGCTTTGCCTTTACAGCCAAGTATTTACTGTACAAACTAGACATTGATAACGTGTATGGCCACCAATGATCCTACTTTTTTATCTGTTTTGGCAACGTTTTGTTTATTTTGTTTTGAGTATCCCATTGTATTTGACTAATTTTTCCAGAATATATAGAAAAAAAATTGAATATTAACAGCTCTACAAAAATTTAATGTGTTCATTAAATTGGGTGGGACACTATATATATTACTTCTTGATTCAATTTAAGATAGTTTTTTTTATATATTGATATGGAGAAAAGATATATTGGAATAGTAGTACTTTTATTAAGTTGTATGTATATATGTTTCAATTTAAAAAAAATATATATTTTTGACACCTTATTTTTACAAGTTACATTTCTACTGTATTCTTCTGAAACAAAGGAAATTTTACAATTTACATATAAAATAAATCATTTAAGTATTTAATACTCCAGTATAATTTTGAGTTCATCTTAATCACCTAAAAACTAAAATGCATTTAATTAAAAATTGAAAATATTTTAAAAATAAAAAAGTATTTCAAAATGTTTAATCTGTGACCTAATATTATTAACATATTTAAATTTAATCAAATAAATTAAATATGAAAAAACTATTTTGCTTGGTGTATTATTGGTTTCATTTTGTTAACAATTTGTTTTAAATTGTGAATTTCTATGTTTGCTTAATTTTTTTCTTGTTGTGTTAAAATAATTGCACTATGACTATCAGTTTTTTTTTTTGAAATGCCTATTGTATTTAATTTATAAATGCTATTTGGTTATTTTTGCTTTTCTGCTTGTATTTTTAACTTATAGTTGGTTTGTTAACATGTATAATTCTAACAATTAATGGTTTGTTTTGTATTATTACGTTTTTTAAATTAAACAATTATGATTAATTAAATTTTAATTTAGCAATGGTTTTATAATTATTAGACAAACTCTAATATTCTCTAAACATCTAGCTAAAGAATTGATGTATATTATAACCATTATGTTTAAATATTTGACTTTAGTGTCAGTTATAATGAGTGGAATTGCTATTGTTTCATATCTTTATTAAATAAAGTTTTAGGTCTTGTATATATTTATACTATACAATTTAGGTATAATATATATAATATATATTATTTAAATAAGTTTTAGTTTTTACATAAAAAAAAATATATAAATCTATGTTTTAATAATTATATAGTTTGTATATGAATACTATAGATTGAGGTCATTCAGATTTACTATGATTATAATTATGTGTAAATGGAATTGAAAATGTTGAAATTTTACATATTTTTTACAATCTGTTATTTATGTAGTTAAACAATGAAATATATTTTTATGACCTTATATTAAATATAATATTAAAATAAATTATGTATTTATACAAAAATAAACATACTTTTATGATAAAAAATTACTTTTTGAGTATGTTATTTTTTTTTCGTTAATAAACTATTAATAAGCTGTAATAAACAAAAATTATAAACATAAAGGGAAGGGTAGACTTTTAGGTTGATGTATCTCCTCGTAATGTCTCATGATTAAAGGTACATAAACAAAGACTAAAAAAGAAATGAAAATCAAATATATTATGGGTGTTTTCTACACTGTTGATACACTTCATACAGTACTCGTATACAGCTTATGGGTAGGTCACTGTTACAGATGGGAAAGTAGTATAAATATTAAATGGGGTTAATTTAATTTATATTATTTTATTAAAACAATTCAAAATTCAGCTAATCAAGTATTAATAATCTTAAATTGAAAATTCTAACTAATTTTTAACTTAAAAATAAATAACAATTGTTTTTGGATCTCTAAATATTGAGCATTTTAATAATTTGTATAGTTTGTCTATTCTATATGGAAAATATTTTTAAAAATGTCAAGATTTAGAAAATTTTCATTAAAATTAAAACCTAACCTAACTTAACATAATGCTTGTAATAAAAAAAAAAAAAAAAAGTTAACATTTTAGAATTATAATATTTTAATAGTGTCATAAGAACAAATTATGATAAATCTTCTACCTAATTTTTCATTATTTTGAGCAGTTAATAAAATGTATTCTCATAAAAAATTTTAAAAAAACCATAACAATTTTAAATTTTATTATAAGCTCTAAAATCGGCAGAATATTTTGAAAATTTTACCACATCTAAGAAGTTAATATAAGTGTTCTGTAAAAATGTCAGGTTTTTACAATTTACATAATCTTTAACTGAATTATAATGAAATCAAAAACCGATCTCCGCTAACTATGTAAAAATTGCAACCAAAACCACCTCTGAAGTTGATCATCAGAAAAAAGTTCCTGGTAGAAAAGTTATTAATAGACATATCAGAGGAAAACTAATACATTTCTTTCTGTGTCTAGAATTGAATATATTTTAGTTTATCTAGTTACTTTACTTGATTTTGTTGTATGTGAAAATATGTACCTTTTGATGGTCAGTATTATTTGAGGTCTGAAATTGTAAACTCTTGATAGAGCAACTGCCTAAATATGGATATCCAATTACTAGAATAGTAGGTGTATTGTACATATACTCAATCTCCGAGATTTTATGAAGATTTTTAAAACTTAATTTTTTTTAAATTTTATTATTCTTAAATTGTTTCATCTTAAAAATTGAATACAATTTATATTCACCATTTTTCAAAATTTCGAATTTAATTATAAATATAAGATAAATATACTCTCAAATAGTAAGTACATAACACTAATAACATTTTCTACGATATTACTATAATATTATATAAATATTTAAATTTTAAATATATATATATATATATATACATACATTTAAAAAAACATTGATACTACTACAATCTGAATGTTCATAAATAATAAACTGTTTGTTGATATTAAAATACTACTAAAAAGACTTAAAACTGCATATAAGTATTAATTTATTATTATTTACAAAACAAATTTATAATTACTCTTATAGTTCTATAGGTATACATTCAATGTGTATTTTTTTTATTGTTAATACAAATTGCAATATATACAATAAATTGTATTATTATTAACTGTTCATATTCATTTTTGTGTTTGTTTTTCATTATTCATTAATCTTACTTGTAATAAAATATATAGGTTTTATTTTAAACCAGTATTTTTATTGCATTAAACTGTTAATAAATGTTATATATGTAATTCATAAATTATGAATTGTGATTTATGTTCTGTGAATCTGCTTAGGAAATTTTAAGGAAGATCTAATAATTTTATATATATATATGTATATAATTATTGATTCTCAGCATAAGTTAAATAAATTGAACATCATTTTTTTTTCAGTTTGTCTATCAATTTAAAAATTGTTACAATGTTGCAGGCTATATTCTGATGGCTGGTGCAGTAGTTCCAAATTCTGATCGAAATTCATACTCACAGTCAAATACACAATTACAGAATGATATATCAGCAAACAACAGTGCATCTATTGATAAAGACAAAACACCTATGTGTTTAGTAAATGAGTTAGCAAGATTTAATAAGGTATCAATTGTTTATGCTAAACACATACAAATTTACTAAATAATAGTGTAAACCATATTGATGTATTCTAAACAGATAAAACATCAATACAAATTAACTAATGAACAAGGACCACCCCACCAAAAGAAATTTACTGTTACTTTACAACTAGGAAATGAAGAATATAATGCAGATGCAATGAGTATTAAAAAAGCACAACATGCTGCAGCTGCACTTGCCTTATCAAAAACAAATTATAAACAACCACAAACTAAAATTAAATTAAAAGCTTCTGGTCATTATAGTAATATCAATTAGAATTTCTTTGAAGATGTAGATTAAAATACTAAGTTTACTTTTAAATTTTTATTTTTAGATAATATTACTCCAACAGTAGAATTAAATGCTTTAGCTATGAAACGGGGTGAACAAACTGTTTACACAGTCATTGAAACGCCACAATACTTGACACCACCGCCACAACCAAACCCGTTATATAATGGATTTAGGCCAGATATTTATCCTCACTCGAGAACTTCTACGTATAATAATTTCAATAATTTAATGTAAAGAAATATCATATTTAATAGATTTTTGTAAATATAATTTTAATAAAATACTTTTTGTAACAGTAATAGAAACGGCCAACGATGTATGCCATATGTACCAAATTTTTATAGCCCGCGATTCTCTGTCCCTCAGGTATGGAAAGTGATACTATGCTTATATATTATGAACTTATTTATTATTCTTATTACATTGTTATTTTAGATTCCTCCAAACGGCTATATTAAACCTGAAGTAAAAACGGTTGGGTTTTATAAGGTTAAACTCCAAATTGGTAAACATGAATTTATGGGATATGGGAATACAAATCAAGCTGCAAGACATGATGCAGCAATGAAAGCTTTAACTCAGATAAAAAATGAAGAAAAAAATGAAAATATTAAAGAAGTTTTAAAATGTATGTTTTAAATTGTATTGTATTTATTTATCAAATATTATTTCTAATAATTCATTTATTTTTTGGTGATAGCGGGTGATTCAAAATCAGTAATTTCACAAGTATATGAAGTTGCTCTGAAAATGAAATTACCTATAAAGTTTGAAGTTTTAAAAGAAGATGGGCTACCTCATATGAAATTGTATATTACTAAGTGTACAGTGGGCTCTTATAATGTCACTGGCGAAGGAAATGGGAAAAAAGTATTCTTTTTTGTGTTCAATTTAATTTAATTTGCAACAGTTAAAATGTTTGCATTCAAATTATTACTTTAGTATAAGATAAATTGTTAAAAATATATATATTATTAAATTAAATACTACTTAAATATATTGTTTTAATTGTAGCTTTCAAAACGGCGTGCAGCAGAAAAAATGCTTCAAACTTTAAAAGAAGTTAATGAATCTCTTTTAGAAGAAGAGAATATCTCTCCAACTTTACCAATACCACCAAAGAATCGTTATAAAATGCCCAGAAAGAAAAATAAGAATCTTATAAAAGAAACAAAACCAAATTCTGAGAATCTTGAACCTAATGATGCTACTTACCGAAAGGAAGATAATAATGATCCAGTTGCAAAACTTTTTAAAATACAGGCAACAAAAAAAAAAAAGGAGCCCATATATGTTCTTAAAGAAGATATTATACTCTCAAATCGTAAAAAGGAATTTACTTTTGAAGTACTAAGATTCATAAAATAATTTGTGATTGTAATTTATTATTGATTGTTTTAAATTATCATGTTAGGTTTCAGTTGGACAGTTTACTGCGTTTGGAAAAGGTCCAAATAAAAAAGATGCTAAACGAAATGCTGCTGAAAAACTCTTAATAGACATGGGATATGAGAGTGAACTTAAAAGACGTTCCATTAAAACTAACGATTTACCTCTGGTAATTTCTATTTTAATTAATTTTCCGATTATTGAAATAATCAGATAACTAGAATTTGTATTATTGGGTAAGTTTATTTTATGTATGTGGAAAGTTAGTTTCAATGAGAGATATTTTTGTTAATATGCTTCAAATTATCAGTACATCCATAGTCTATTATATTCGAAAAATTAACTATAATAAATAAATATAATAAAAGAGTAGACAACAGATATTTAGAAGTCGAAAACGGAAGTTTAGAACAAGGGTGGCTTACCCCAAATAATTGGGATTAAAGCGAAGGGGAAGATGGTATATACTATATTATTAATTTTTGATGTATTATTTTAAGGTGAGTCATGAGAATAAAGCAAATATAGATAGTCCGCGTAAAAATGGACGACAAATTGCTCCAGGTGTTTTACTTGTATCACCTGAAACATCAACAGCGAATAAACCTAGTCAAGGAAATGGTGGTGTTCCTTTGGTGTCTGTTGCAAGTAATGTGGCAAATGATTTCTCTGTCATCGATTTTCAGCCTACTAAACAGTTGGACTATTTTTCACAAATGTTAGGATTTAAAATACAATATTCTGAATTTCCTAAGGTTAGTATTAATTATAAATGTTCATGTAATTGTATGTAAATAATAATATATTACATCCATTCTATAAAATACAATCTTTCACGAAATTGATTGTGTAATTGCAAACTTTATTCTCATACTGAAATTGTTGAGGTTCAATATAGGAAATTTACAAATGTCTTGAGATTGACACTTTGAAATATATATTTTGTAATACTTATCACATTAAATATTTTGGACACCCATTGAACTAATAATGAAAAAAATGAATTAGATAATTATGTTTATAATTCATACTATTTTGTTCCATATTTTATCATTGAAAAATTTAATATTAAATTACTCTAACTAAAAAATAAATCATAAGGTTTAATAGTTGGCATTTGTGTCAATAATTATTTTCATGAAACGTTTTGTAATCTATTTGTAGTTTATTCATGGTATTTCCAAAGTTGTGATTATCATCTTATTGGTACTGTTACTGTATACCATATCTAAATATGATAATATTAATTGTATAGTTTTAATATAAAATCTACGAATTTTAGCGCAGAATTCCAGTAATTATGATAAAAAAATAACCTTATAAGTTATTACTTATAAGGTAATATAAGGTTATAGTCCTGTTATACTCTGTATATCAGTATAATAATATCTACTTTTATTATGTATATTATGCGAAATTTAAAAAAATTGTACAATTCTTTTGTTATAATAGGGGAATCATAATGACTACTTGACGCTTGTTTCAATATCAACAACTCCTCCACAAATTTGTCACGGATCTGGTTCTACTAGCGAAATATCGCGTAATAATGTAAATATTTATAAATATAATATTATGGAAAATAATGTTACTAAAATGATTAAGATGGATCTGTACTGGTGTACAAAATAATAACAAACCTGATTACATAATAATGTAGATGTGTTTTCAGGCATCAAACATGTTTCCCCATCTGACAGTACATAAACGTATAGTTTTGCGCTCATGTTTAGATGTATTTGTTCAAAAATAATCTATTATTACACCATATTAGACACGGTTTGAATCATTTTTAATTTCTATGAATATATTGGAAAACTACAGAGATTATTACATTGACATGGACACAAAAGAGAAATTTTGTGCGCAAAACTATATGAACAAATATACTGCAGGGTGGACAAACACAAAATATTAACTTATTTTTTATTTTAGGCTGCACTTAATGCAATCACCTCTTTGATTAATATGAATATGCAGATAAATCAACAAACTGAACCAACACCTCAAGGACCAGTAAATGGATTTTCTATGCCGCAGAACCATTACAATAGTAATCCTTTAACTAGACTTAGTTAATAATTGTCTTCTCAAATAAATTAGTTAAGTTTATTTGTTTAGTTAACTGGTAAAAACGTAGTTTTCTCAAAAAAAAATTATTAAATTTATTTATTTAATAAAATATTGATTTTAGTGAATTTGTTTGATGTGATACAATGTTGATAATGTTGAAAACTTAAACAATAATTATTATATATAACATGATATTTAAAAGTATTTTTAAAACTACGTTTTGGCCACTTAAGTAAAGAAAATAATTATCACTATAAGCTTCTTTTTTACATGTTTATACATAAAATATAATTAATTATTTATCACTACCTACTCAACTAATGTGTAAAAATGGTTTTTCTTTTTTATTATTTGATCTTTTATTTTGTTTAGATTTATTAATTCTTTTATATTATTATTTGTGCTATTAACTTGAATCATACTGATTCTCGTATTAGTATTTTCATTTGACTTTTATAACTTTCTAGTAGGTGTAATGTTCCAAATACATATTAAAAGAATTTACATTGTTATCTTTATGGTTATTAAACATTTTGTCTTATATTAGTTGTACTATTAATTTCAAATTACACAATATGACAATATAGAATTAAATTATTATTTATTGTGATTATTGTAACTTATATTATAACAATTGTAATAGAGACAGTACTGAAACTAGAAACAAATTTTATGGAAGAGCAATAATAATTTGTATTGATAATTACAATCTATTATTCTTCAGAATGACCAAAAAAAGCCAAAAACTTCAATAACGAATAAAAAAAAAATTTTGAATGGGGGAGATCTTCTGCACGTACAGCATCCCTTCCTTCACTTATGGAACATTATGTAGCGGGGTGTCAAGAAACATGATAGTGTCTTGCCTAAGTTTCAAGGGGAACTACTGTGACTCTATATTATATACAACAGAAATTGGATTTTTAAAGTACACAAATATTAATATTTAAAATCAAAATTAACCAGAGTTTGATAAAACTATCAACAATGGACTAAACAATAAAATAAAAATTTGGTTGACAAGTTTTAAATTATTATAATTGAAATTGTATGATTTTTGTAAATTTTGATTTTTCATTAAAAATATCCTACTTGGGTGGAATGCATATTTACATCAGATATAATAAAAAATAAATTTATCTGAAGAGCATTCTATAGATTAGCCCTCTATATTATTAGTGACTTCAGCAACCTTCACTTCCAAGAAACGGATTTTATTGCAATAAAAATATCTATATATGTACCAATTTTTCTTAAAATATGGAATAAAAAATCCAAAATATTATGTAAATAACAAAAACATTTATTAGCATTAAAAATTTAAAAAAAAAAATTTATTAAATAAAAGTAATATAAATGATGTAGATATGTAAAACTAAGAGTATTATTCCAGAACAAAGCAACGAGAAAAAACATATTTTTAAAGGTTTACAAATAAAAAATTGGAATGGTTTGGTCGGAAAATACTTTTGTATTGACTAAAAGACCGTTCCACGTCAACAGATGTATTAGGAGCATAATTCATATTTACTATATCAGGAGTGAATTCAATGTCTAAAAATCTTTGTTGATTTTTTCCTATTAAAATATCTCTGATGATTTGAATAGTTTGAAATCCAGAATTCTTTTTAATTATATTGGCAAATTTATTTTTGATTATTTCTACCATATTATGTGCCCTTGAATTTTTTCTAATTTATCTGTAAATTTGTCTACAATGCTAATACTTTCTATCAAAGATATTTTTTAGTTTCCAATTGTTTAATTGTGTGGTGGTTGGGTGGTATTGGTATATGTTGACTAGATTTAAAAATCCAAAAGAAAGTAAATTTTTAATTTAGATCCTCCGTTATAAAAAAACCTCTTCCTTGAAAGAATTGGCCAATGTGTATTGTGGTATAGTATTCTACCTATTTTGCCCATAGAATATCTCTATCTATATATATTTTTTTCTACTATCAATTATAAAAATTAATTATTTGAAATCATAATATTAACTTATTTAGTTTGTGTCTTTATGATAAAACAACTTTAAAATTTAAGTAATTTTAAATCAACTCAAAGTACACAGGTATAACTAAAGTATACATATTTATATTAATTTATAATGGTGAAAACATTTAAATAAATACAAAACTTTATTAATATATGTTTCCTACATATTTATTATTTGTAATTTTAAAAAAAAAGTATTTCTGGTCACCTTATATTGGTGATGATTTGGTGGTTGTCAAAAATTACTAAAATATGTACAAATTATGTAAAATAAATTAGAGTTTATTTCAATTAAAATGATCTAAATCATACATATTTTTTATCAGATTTAAAATTACTCATTTACTATTTACCATAAAATTTGTTCCCTAATTATTACTACTAGTTAATTTATGCCAAACAACAAATTAACATTAACGATGTTAAACTGTCATTTACAGATACAATTGTAACTTAATTATTTAAATAGCATATATTATTATAAAACATGAAATGAAAAAGAAATACACACATATATATATAAAATAGTAGATAAATACAAATTGTAATATTGTTGTAATTATGAGATAAGTGGCCTTAGATAAGGCATTAAACGTTATTAGCAGATCTTAGCATTCAATACAATATATTGACCCTTGACCATAGTTAGTTTTATGCGTTTAAATATAGGGATTGAGTTTTAGGGGAATGAATAGGAATTTTAAATTGTATGAGTACAAGGACCAGGAATATTGAGTAAACTGTTTAAGAGTGTATATATAATCTAAGTCAGCTTTATCATGATTAATGGCGGGTAATTAGCGTTTGAATATTTAAGGCCTGCCTTATGTTGGAATCTTGGAAAAGTTGTGGAGTGTATGATGGTTATTAAATTTAAAAGCTGCATAGTTCAAAATGTATTTTGTAGTTTTGTACGCATTCCAGATGAATCAAATCTTTTGATAGATATGGGCATATAGCTTCCAGACCTTGATAGGACAAATAAAGGATGTGTGTATACCTCGGTTTAAGTATATCCATTGCACAGATATATAAAACAACTAGATAGCCAATTGCTAGAGCAGGGGGCAGTGGTATAGCACTTACTACTCTTAATGTGAAGCAAACTTCTGTATGTGTAGTTAGAGGGAAAAAATAACGTGCAATTTATTGTATTTTTAAAATGGGTGTTAACAATATTGAATAATAAAATAATATAATATTGAACATTTAAGTTTCATATTTTATTATTATTTTTTATCATAATTTCGAGTTGTTTCATTTATTCACGTACGAAAAATGACAAGTGTAAAAAGAAGATATTAGCTTTTTTCGGTACGTAGCTTTTTCTTAGATGCATGTCTTTTGCTCTTAATATTAAAAACTATACATTTACATTTTTAGAATACAGAAAAAACATTGTCTCTGTGAACAGTGGTTGGAATATTTTAAGGAATACAGTGGTAAAGATATTTCTCATGTTAAATTGACAACATCTGTGTTCAAAACATTTTAAACAAGATGATTTTATGAACTATTTAAGAAACAAAACACTAAATACTGTTCCCATAATTGTTGTAAATTGATTGAAATATGTAAGTTGAATAATTTTTATACTATCGTTGTTTACTTAAAATATTAAGTAGCTTTATTACATATTTAATAACAATAATATGACAATAATTTTAACTTCGTTATAATTCTTTGTAGGCTAATAATGCTTTTCCTGAAGTGTGAACACAATTATCAAGTAAAACTATAAGTATCCAACTTCAATGTACATTATAAGTTTAAACTTAGCACTGTCCAATTTTTTTTCTCTAGGTACATACTTTTATTTTAAAAATAATTATATTATTGTAAATTTAATAGATATCCCATTTATACCTTGAAGGTGTTTCTCCGTTACCTGATGAAAGTGTTGACTAAGTGTATTTTCAACCTTTTACAACTACTGAATATTTTGTTGTAAATAAACCAAAAGTAAAAAAAAAAATACTTAGAACAATATTATTAAAAGACTTATTTAATACAGTAGGTACTCTAAAATGTATGATTTTAAAACCGATTCAATTAAATTAATGGTTGGCTCTGCTATTTCTGATAATGAAGATACTCAATGATACTAATGATGATAGAAGAAAAAAGTTTTAAAAAAGCACTATTACAATTTTGGCTGAGGAGAATTGGAGCAAAAAATGAAAATGAAAACATTATCTCAAAAAGGGAGAACTTTTGATAAAATGAGAGAGCTTAATTATTGTAATAATGAAATCATTAATTTTAAATATATAGTTACTTTTGATATTACAAGATAAAGAGCAATGTGAATTAACTAATAAGTTAAAAAAGCATGTTTTTTTTTTTTTAAAAAAGATGAATGTGAACTCAATTACTATCTTCCTCAGTAGCCAATTCTTTAATATTTTGAAAGATGAGCTTAAGCTTAAAGATTTTGAGAGTTGCACTGCTACTGTTAATTTCATAAGGCCTTTTAATGATGTATTTGATATTTTAAATTCTAGGACATTTATTACATACAGGTTTAAAGGTGCTATTAATTATGAAGATATATTTTATTTTTGCTAAAAGTTTATTTATTATGTTTATAATTTAAAACTACACTAGCCAAACTAATTTTAAAACCTCCAAGATCAACTGGAATTTTAGGTTTTCTTGTTTGTTTTAATTCCTTAAAGAATTTAAAAAAATGTATTGGTACTAAAAATTAACATACATACCATTTTATAAACTTAATCAGGACCATCTTGAAATGTTTTTTGGTAGTGTTAGGTCTCTGTGTGGAAATAATAATAATCCATCATCTATCCAATTTAGATTTGCTTATAAATACAGAAAATGGCCCTCTCACCAATCATGATATTCTTTTGATTAAGTCAGTTATTTCAACTTCCTATGACAAAATACATATTTATGCAGTAAACAAAACAGAACAGTTTTATTGCGAATTTTTTATAATAAATTAACCTTATTCAAGGGCCAATAAATAATTTTTCCATATTCTATTAAATAAAAGATATTAAAAAACAAAAATGTTTTTTTTTATAGTGGTACAAATAAAAACATTTAAATGAAAAGTACAAAGTAAAGAAAGTACAATAATTTATGCATAACGTTTTATTAATTATTATATGTGTAAAAATTATTATTATAAATAAAGTATATTATATTATAAACATTTGATTCAGTGTTTTGTTTATTAATTACCTACTACATTTTTTATTATTATTTAAAAATGAAATAAATATTAATACATTTTATTAGTAAAATTGTATTTTTATTTTAATCAATCATTTAGCAAGACTTTTTTTTTTTATTTGTGGTCATACTGACTTTTACCCTTCTAGTTACTTCACTATTTTAACTAAACAATTATAATGTTGTAAACGGTGTAAATTTTCCCTTGAAAATCAAACCGGTGCGAATTTGTGAAATTTTTTTAACCTGTGTAAAAATTAACGATACCGGTTTAATTTGTCTACACCATCACATGCATATGTTGTAAACTATTTACATAGGTTTTATCCTCTCTCATTTCCTCCTCGAAATAACGAACGGATAAATGATAAAAATAATTTAACTGATAACAATTAATACCTATTCAAATTAATTTTTATTAACTACTTATTAGCGGGAAATGGGAAGTATAGTATAGGTAATACACTAACAATTTAAATAATTGATATATTTTGTATAGTATTATTATTGTTAATTTTAGACACTGGTGGGCATATACAGATTTCCATCGTCGAATATCTATACTGATGTAAAATAATCAGTATCAAGTGTTAGTAAACCGGTACAAAATGTATCGGTACACCGGTTCGTATCAACAAATTTCTAGCTATAGTCTATAAGCATAAAATAATGGCCGCCAATCGTTGTCTAAAAAGGTGAATGTTTACAAATTAAATTGATATGTTAAATGATAAAATACTATTTTGGAATTTTACTGTAGATAATGAACTCTATACATGTATTGATTTCAGTGACTGTACAGTGTACAATTTATATTTTAAAAAAATTTAACACTATAAGGCATAGGATATTATAACATCGTTCCTTATCAATACTATAAAACATAAACATTCACCTCTTAGATAAAGATAGCGGCCGTCTTGTTGATGACAATAGTAATATACTAATATCCAAGTCAGCTATCTATAACTTTTTATATTTGTTTTATATATCTGTGATCCATTGACTTAGATATTTTAAATTGTAGTGGATACATAATCTAACATCTCCAATTCATGTTATCATGTCTATACTTCAACCTACAAATTAAGATATACAGGTCGATACCGAACGAACGTGTGATAAGTGAAGCTCACCAAACCTTCTCACCAAAGTGGTTTAATTAGGTCTAAACATTTGGCTTATCAATTGATTGAAAGTATTACAGCAATTAAAATTGTCGCTTCTTATCCGATAGAGGGACCAGTAATTGTATTATTTGAACCTCCTTATTAATCCACCATGCTTCTTATTTTTGGTAAGGCTACTAACCCCATCTAGTGTACTCTTTACAAACTGTCAATATTTATTATAGACATAGACATAATAACTTGTTATACTGAATAGATAAATAAATAGTTATTAGTTATTAGATTATAGAATAAATATGCAGTTTATTATTCCTCCATTATAAACTTTAAATTGGTTTTAGTTGATTTTTTATTAATTTTTCATTAAAGCGTTAGCTGTCATGTCAAACATTGAGAAACGGCGGAATTGGAAAAACATTGATAAGACCTTTACATTCGGTATCCTCTCAGATCATAGGTAATCTTATTTCGTGCTCCAACTTGATGATACTATTACAAGGAGGATACAAACCGCGATACCATTATCAATTATGGAATTAATGTTTTGAAAAATCAGTAAATTCATAGAACCTATTCATAAAAAAAAAGATAGGGCATAGATATATAAGCAAACTTTGTTTATATGGGATAGGCCATGTTGCCTTATCATGCTTTTATGAAAATGCTATTCTAAGGTACGATATTATGTGTATGATATCAGTATAATGTAAAAATCCAGAAAATAATTTTACAAATTTTCAGATTTTTCCAAAATATTGACAATCCAGTGACACTGACTTTTAGATTTATAAATTTAACTAAAAAAATAAATATAGTAATAATATCAGACATCTGATTGAAGTTAATACTTTTTTATTCATTTTTAATTTACATGAATCATTATTTTATAAAACTTTAAAACATGTCAGCGAGAAGTCAGATAAATACAATGGGTTTGTCAGAGGTAATTGTTTAAATAACAGTATAAACTTGAATGTATAATACTATATCATATTTTTTTTATATTTTTAAGGAAGTACAACGACATTCTGTTCACACTTTAGTTTTTAGGTCTCTCAAAAGAACTCATGATATGTTTTTATCATGTCAAGGAATGCTACCACCTATAGACGAAGAAGCGTTAGTCAAATTTATATTTTACTATTAATAATTAAAAATGTATATCTACTTTAATATTTAATCAAATATTATATTTTGTCTATAGTGAAAAAATTAAAAAACTTGTCAAGGCACGTGATTGTTATGGTCTTGTTTTTGACAAAGTGGAAAAAAATAAGATAAATATGAAGAAATCTCAACCAAATCTTCCTAAATCTGATACTGTTGATACTTTTAAAGATAACTTACAACTAGCCATAAGTAAGATGACATTATTATTATTGTTTATAATTAAATATTAAAATGTTAAATATGTTTAGCTGATAATCCTGAGAAAATAAACAAAAATACAGAAACTAGCATGGTGTTATCAAGTCCAAGTACACAAAATATAGCTGCTGCTAATCGACTTATTAATCATATAATGCCGAAACCAAAATGGCATCCACCTTGGAAATTGTACAGAGTTATTTCTGGACATTTGGGTTGGGTGAGATGTGTTACTGTTGAACCAGGCAACGAATGGTTTGCTACTGGTGCTGCTGATCGAGTTATTAAAGTATAATGTCTTTTATTATTGTTATTAAATATAAATACTAGTTAAATTTATTGTGATTTTAGATTTGGGATTTAGCCACTGGCAAATTGAAACTTTCCTTGACTGGTCACGTGAGCACCGTGCGCGGTCTACAAGTCAGTCCTAGACATCCATATTTATTCAGCTGTGGTGAAGATAGGCAAGTGAAATGTTGGGATTTAGAACATAACAAAGTAGTCAGACATTATCATGGACATTTGAGCGCAGTTTATAGTCTTGCATTGCATCCTACTATTGATGTATTATTAACTGCTGGACGAGATTCTACAGCCCGAGTATGGGACATGCGTACAAAAGCTAATGTACACACACTTACTGGTCATACTAATACAGTGGCCAGTGTTGTAGCTCAAGAATTTGAACCTCAAGTATAATAAAACGAAAAAAATAGTTTATTTAATATTTATTTTAATTTGGTTTATTATTATTATTTTCTATTTATAATTTGGTAAATTTTTATTTAGGTTATGACTGGATCTCATGACTGCACGGTTAGATTATGGGATTTAGCTGCAGGCAAAACTCGAGCAACTCTTACAAATCACAAAAAAAGTGTGCGATCACTTGTTTTACATCCAAAAGTGTAAATTAAAAACACAAAAAATTAAAAACATATTAGAATTTAAATTTTATTTTTATCACTATGTTTAGATACATGTTTGCTAGTGCAAGTCCAGATAATATAAAACAATGGACTTGTCCAGATGGGAAATTTGTACAAAATCTTACTGGACATAATGCTATAGTTAACTGTTTGGCTGTAAATTCTGATGGTGTTTTAATGTCTGGAGCAAATAATGGCTCAATATATGCTTGGGATTGGAGAACTGGTTATAATTTCCAGAGAATGCAGGTATTTAATATTAATGATATGATTGTATGAATATACTATACTATATCTTGCATATTAATTAACTACGTGAAAGAAAATTGTTGAATGTATGATTTTTAATTAGGCTCCTGTACAACCTGGTTCCATGGACAGTGAAGCCGGAGTATTTGCTATGGCATTTGATCACAGTGGTACTAGACTCATTACAGCTGAAGCTGATAAAACTATAAAACTTTACCGAGAAGATGATACTGCCGTAAGTATATTTACTATAATAGACCTTATATTCATAGATATACTATGTATGAATCAGCTCTGGTAATGTTTGTTTTTTGCTATTACGATAAGTAACTGACACAATGGTAGATAATAAAGGAATGAATAGGAAATTAATATTTGGTTCTTAATTATAAGAAACTGAGGTAATTCTTTTTCCTTTTGTAATAAATATGAAAATAAATATTTTATGTTTAATTTTTTTAGAATTCAAATTTTACGGTAGCAATCTAAAATAATTGATAATTTAAGCGTTTCGATTTTAAAACTGAATAGATTAATCTATTCTATCATTTTAGGAAAGTAGATATATTTATGTGTGATAGCATATTGCACCTATATAATCATCTACACCTAATTAACATATTTGTTATACTATTAAAAATTACTATTTTGGCGTTTAATAAACAATAATAATAATAATATTGATAACAGAATCGTTAGGAGTACAAATACTACAATTGTCTTGATTTTTGGCTTCCGTTGGCCATCATTCCGGAAACTAAACCCTATCTATTTCTTCATTATCTGTGGACACTATATAATAATATCACTATTGTGTGTTCTTATCATTTTAATATGTTAGTGTGTTACAAGATGTATGTAGGGAGAATAGATCTATGAGTACCTATATCATAAGTATTTAGTCACTTTTTGATTTTCTGTGTTGTTTTTTTAATAAGCAAAACCAAAAAATATATGTATAAAGAACTGAAAAATTTAAGAAAATAATATCTTTATTGTTTACAATTTTTTTTTTTTTTATTGTAATTTAGTTAAAAATATTCATAGAGACTTAAAATTTTGACAAAAATTTATACTTTCTTTTTGTAGATGTGGTAAAATGTTTAAAACATTTAAGCCATTTTTGAATTATTTATAAATGTTTTAATTTTTAAATTTTTTTTAGTTTTTTTTTATTTGATAGGTACTCTGTAGATAAAATGGTTAGACTTAACAGAAATGCTTGAAGATTTGACAGGAGGTTCATTATAAGTCGTACTTTCATACTTATTGGAAAAAAAAATTATTGTAATGTAATATTATTTTTTTTTTTTGTAATTGTTGAAATCAAATTTTGACATAAATCATAAATATTACAGCCTTTTAAGACATGTATAACTTAACATTACTCTGGATCGTTTTTTTTTTAGCCATGTTTTATTTTTGGTCACAGGTATAAATTAAATAACTTAATGTATCCTACCTTTTTAACTACCCACCTATAACAGTGTCTACGCCTATCCTGAATTATCAGTTATTTTTTAAAATCATTTATAAATATATATTAAACACAGTAGATAATTTAAAAATGATAATCAATATTTGTTCAACAGTTTTTTATTTAAAATATTTCTTTTTTTTTAGACTGAAGAAAGTCATCCAATCAATTGGAAGCCTGACATAATTCGAAGAAGGAAGTATTGATGTTTTTATATTTTTATCTACCATTGTAACATTTTAATAAATATATAAAAACTATTATTTTTTTGACAAAATTGAAATTCTTTAATCCTTTAAATTCTTTATAATATATTGTTTGTAATTGAAACAATGCTGTAAACTTACACAAATAAATAAATAAATATTTTGGTATGGTTAAAGATAAAATGCTGATAAGTGATAACATGAAAAAGATATGATAAAGAAGTAAAAGAAAATAAATATTGAATAGTGACCATGTTGTAACTTTTATTTCAATGAACAATTATATAGTTTCTAGTTTTTATTAAGTTTATTATATCTTTAAAAATGTTTCGAAAAAATACAACTGCTTTTCCAACACATTTATTGTATTATAAACACATACAAAGAATCCAAGTACGAACAAAAAAAACACATTGGGTTGGTATTTTATTTATTATATAACATAATAGTAATTTATATATATTATACTGTATATCCTTTTTGTTTGTTCTAAAAGTGTATTTATGATAAATGTAGGCTTTACTTAAGAAAAAAATTCACCCCAAAGATAAGGCCTTAGAACATTTTGATGATTTTTATGGTTCAGTTTACGGAAAAAGATGGAAATCAATACGACTAGCTCTATTGTGTCCTCATAAATATATAGCTGTTGTTAATAATTTTAGTAATTCTGAACAAATTTCTCAAAATTTAGAGGTAAGAAAATATAAATATTTTCTCTTAGTATTATTAACATTAAATCAATGTAAATAGTTATTATATTTATATTTATTTTAGTGGTTGGGAGCAATGAATATGAGAAAAGTAGTTGAAGCATATACACCAAGAACTGACCAAGAATCTCCCAACAAAAACAAAATTCAAAATTTAGATAAACAATTAGAAAAACTGTTATTAACTGGTGAAAATAAAAATACTGACGAAAAAGAAAAGTAAAATTAAAATTAACTACAAATGTTTGTTGTGAATTTATGATACATAAATATTTATTTATTTATTAGTAACAAATATGTTGAAAAAGCTTCTCTTCATGAGAGTTTATTAGAAGCAGAATGTGATGAAAGTAGATTAATAGATCCTGAAGCAAAATCTAATATAAGTGGATTATATCAATTTATACCAACTAGTGAACTTCATGGTAAATCTGACTGGATTCCAGAATCCCAACATTATCAATACTATGAAGAAAATCCAGATTTTCCAATCAATATATTAAAAGAGAAACAGCCCCTTAAAATTCCACCTCAATTACAAGTTTATACATTTGATCGAGGTGACATTTCTCCATTCCCTAGTCCTAAAACTAAATCTAATAATGTCAGTGGTAAGATAATTATTTTAATAATATTCATCTTTTGGTTTTAGCAATGTAAATTTAGTCTACATATTTTTTTAAGATTTATAAATGATTTTTTAAGTGTGTCTCATTGATTTATAGATTACTATTTAATGGATGGCGGTTCAATTTTACCAGTATTAGCATTAGATTTAAAACTTGGTGATAAAGTATTAGATATGTGTTCAGCTCCTGGTGGTAAAGCATTAGCAACATTACAAACATTATTACCAGGTTAATTTTTGTAATCTATGTACATAAACAAATATTAGAAGTTACTAAATAAATTGTTTCGTATTATAGAATTATTGGTATGCAATGATATTCAGGAATCTAGAATTAATAAATTACGCAGTGTCATGTCTGAATATATTCATGATTATAAAAGCTGGGGCTCACGTTTAGTATTCTCCCAAATTAATGCACGGAACTTTTATGAACCAGACACATATAATAAAGTGTGTACCTATATTATTGTATAGACTACATTTTCTTAATTTATTATTTATAAATACAGATGTGCATTTTTTTTAATTATCATAGATATTAGTTGATGTTCCATGCACAAATGATCGCCATAACTTGAATATTAATGAAAACAATATGTTTAAATCAACTCGTACAAAAGAACGACTAAAATTACCTGAAGTTCAGGCCGATATTTTGTGGTAATTTATTTCTTTTTAACATTTTATATGATATCTGAATTTAAATATTATTTAGTAATGCTTTAAAGAACATAGTTGTTGGTGGTACTGTAATTTATTCAACCTGTTCTTTATCGCCTATACAAAATGATGGTGTTGTAAAAATGGCATTAAAAAAAATATGGGAAGAAACCAATCATCAAATTGTAGTCAAGTATGTTTGTTTTAAAAAATATCAATCAAGTGGTTTTATTAATATTTCTTTTATGTTATAGAGATCTGACAAATCAATTTGAACCATTTAAGTCTTTGTATTCATTTGGAAATGGATTGAAGTATGGTCAGTTGGTGATACCCTTTTTACCACTTAACTATGGGCCATTGTATTTATGTAAATTAGTTCGAGTAAAATAAATAAATTTATTCGCGTTATGTTCATAAAATATTTTAATTTGTATAATGAATATTTTTTGTATTTTTAAAATATAATAAAATACATACTGATACTATACTATTTAAATTAGGTAATGAAATTATTATTGACATTGTTTAATGCAAGTTACGCCGTTCAAACAATGATGCCTTTTAAAATATTTAATTCTCATTAGTTTTTAGTAACTTTAAATTAATTGATTGTTTTAGAGCGTAAATCATTTTTAAAATAAATAATTTCGACTACTTTTTATTGTATAAAGAAGTAGTTGCACTGAATGAAGCGGTTTGCTCATTTTGTTCTTTTAAATTAATCTTATTTAACATAAGATTATATTAAATATTAACATCAATTTTTACTATAATTTTCAGATTTAACTTTAAAAAACAAATCTGAAATAATATTTCTTGAAGTGATAAATTAATAATGTACACTTTCAGAATTTTTATCATATAAATATTTGTATCCACAATAATTAATAGTTTTTTTAATAGCCTTAAATATTTTTAAGCTTTAATGCAGTATAATATTGTGTTTACATTTCATTGTACATTGTTCATTAATAAGCCTCTACACGAATATTTGTTTTCTCTGTCTGATGCATAAAATATAGCGTAAAGGATATTCAACACTATCATAATACTAACTCTGGTTGCATTAAGGATAAATAGACCTATCATACAATTTATAAATATAACTTTATAAAATGTTTAATAGATGCTATTAAACATATTTTGGTTCTAGTCCAAACTTAACCTAAATCACAACCAATGTTGTGGAATGTATTTGTTACCATATTATGTAAGAGACCAAAAAAAAACAATATATTTGTAAAAAAACCACTTAATACATTTTCAAATATTACTATCATCCATGTGGTCATAAACTAAAAAAGAATTGAAAAATCAAAGTTAGAGGAAAAAATGCAATTTTGATTAAAATATTGTAGTTCATGATCAATTATCTTACTCTGTTTCTCAAGTTGTATATAACATTTCGATTTTTATGAAAAATCTTAAGCCATGTGACAGGAAAATTTAAAACTGCATTTTCAATTCTAAATTTTGATTTTTACTTTCTACTTTCCAATTAAATGTAAGATATTAAATATCTATGGTAAACACTAAATTATTGATAAGATGATAAGATAACAAAAAGTTAATTATTTACTATTGTTATTGTTGATATTACATTATTGCTTATGTTATACAAGAATACGGTTATATACGAATGTAAAGGGTAAGTGTTCTTCTCATATTGATTTACCGCTTTTGTAATTTATGTAAAATATGGTATTACAGTGGAGATGTAGTTGGTGACCATCACAAATGGATGACAATGTGAATGTGATGGAATCGACATTCTCGAAAGAATATTACCTTGTAGCCTGATCACAGCGGAATGGCCGACAACATCATAATGTCGTCCGAAAAGCCTTCGTACACTTACCTAAATACCCGGTTTCACAGATTCCACGGTTACAACTTGAGTCTTCATGACCAGGATACAGTGGCTCATCGTGAAATGAGTTTTGCCAATGCAATAGTGTTCAGCGAACGGTCCCTATCGCCGGGCGAAGTGTTCCTCATCGAAATTGAGAGTAGTGAAAACGGATGGTCTGGTCACATTCGATTAGGTCTCACTCAATTAGATCCTGATGCTTTACAGCGCGGCGGACATTTATTGCCACAATGTGCAATACCCGACATGATCTCTAACAATACTATGGGCGAGTCATGGATATGTACTTTGACCAAACATCAGGCCTGGTACCAAGCCAATTATTTGACTAAGTATTTTCGATTAGATGGCAATCATATATTTACATCTAAAGGTACATTCCCGACAAGTATTTTGAAATCGCCATGTGAAGACAAAATGGACATACTACCTACGGATGTGGGTAGTCGAGTTGGTGTGTTGTATTTACCTTGCGGTCAAAACAGGGCCATTATGCATTTTATAATCAATGGAGAGTTTGTTGTTCCGCTTTCGAGAACTATACCATATAATGATGGTCCTATCAGAGCAGTGATCGATGTATATGGTGCTACTAAACGAGTACGCATCATACAAGTATATAATGGTGAGACTTCTGTTAATAAATATATAATTTTGTTTCTATGAAGATTTTTATATAATGCCATATAAACCTGACGAGGTAGCAAGGTATAATCAATGAAAGAATTTTTATAAGCCAATTGTTTTTTACTGTTAAATTAATAAAATATTGTTCTCCATTAAATAAAATAAATTATTACTTTAAACAATTATATTCCATAATTTACTTATTTTAAAAATTAATTTCAAGATATGCCTAATTTAGTTTCTTGTTTTAGTACAACAAGGAATGTATTGATTTTACCATGATGTTTATCTTTTCATTTTTTTTATCCATAAAAAACTTTTCTACCAGAAATCTTACTCCAATTTTCAAATTTAGTACTTTTTCTAAAAGAACATTTTATCTGGGTGGTACTTTAAGAAGGTCAGTTTTTGATTTTCCAAGTGGCTTTCATAATATTAAAAAAAAACTTTGTATAGAAGAAACTCCGCCCCGAATCGTTTTTCATTAGCAATGGTTTATTGTTGCATATAAATATAGGTATAAATTAAATTCTCCTATAACTATACCAACTTCTCACCTACAACAGTGGCACACCCTTTAAAGTATTTTTTTTTTTTTTTTGTGTGTGCCTGGATGTCAATTCTTGAATTTCGTTCGAAAAAAATCACTCATGAGACATTTTCTGTAGGGTTTTGTCATACGACATCTGAAATATCTATTCTTGAACTATTTATGTCATTTGATTATAAAACAATTATTTTGTTACATGAAATATTTTTCATATGATCTATGTTGGTAACTAACGTTACCATGAAAATAATTGTGATGAGACCACCGCCACTCATATTATTTAGTAAATCTTAATACATTTAATGAGTGGTGCCTTTTTTGTTTACATAAACATACTCGTATACATCTTCATTTTGGTTTGTAGAAAGTACAATTGCAACATGTGTGCAATCAATCCAGCCCACAACTCCAGGAAATGAAGTGTTAATAAAAATCTAAAATAAATAAATAAAATCTTGAAATTAGATCACAAAAAAAATATATTTTTAATTGAAGATTTTTATACAAGTTTAATAGAATTACTCATTTCTAATATGTTGGACTTTCTACATATTATTAGGAAATTTAACCCATTAGTTTAATAAACCAAGCTGGTTCAACATGTCAACCACACAACTGATGGATCTTTAAATAGTAGGTTGAAATACAACCATTAACCTTATATTACCAATTGGTGTTTAATAGCATCCTGTTGCAAAGAAGTTTAATACTAAAAACATCTGTAAGAACATTTTATATTTAACTTATTTTTATAGTTTATATAAACATAATCATAAAAATATCAATTCCTAATTCTGAATAATATATTTTTAACTTATTACCTTTTCTCAGATAATTATAGTTGTAAGGTCTTCTTTCTGATTCAATATATGGTATAATTATAGCTATTAGTTGCCTAACTAAATCTTTAGTTTATCTATAATGTTTCAAAAATAAATGACCATATTGGGTATATGGATCATACTTTATCACATCTTTTCCATATAATTTTGTTATGTACCCATTTGAGAATAAACAAAAGTATTTTGTTGTGGATCTTTTTCTTTTTCACGTGCCAAACATGATTTGTTGTATACAATCTCAATCAATAAATGACAAAAAAAAAACCTTTTTATAAAATTGTTGATTTAGCTAGTGCATCTGCTGCGTAATCATTTGATTTTTCATAGCTTTCTTAAAAATTAAAAACAAAAACAGGAAATTTTATGCCATAGCATTTACAGTTTCATTATTTTTGTAAAATTGTCTACAAATAATTGTAAAGACATGTAATTTTCACACAATACTAATATTAGTAATTTTAAAATGTAGTTCAAATGTTTATTAAAACCTTTGATCAATTTGTAAGTAATTTAGGTATTTGACAATTACGAGTTTTTATTAAGTTTTATGTACATAAAATTGTTTTGGCTAAATAGAAATACTTTTCAATTTTACACAAGGTTTGTCATAGTTTGTGTTTAGTATTCAAACAAATAAAATTTAGCATAATGTAGTAGTTTTTTTTGATTTTCATAAGTGTTAAATTTATTTTTTAACCAAAATTATAGAAATGATTGTATATGAAATACACAAGAAAACTTCACTAAAAACCATAGGAATTTCGTTAGCTATAATTTATCATTGTACACATATATAAATTAAACAACATATATCATACCTTCTCAACTTCCCACCTACATCAATTGTAATATGTCATAGGTGCTATGCAATATCGTCTCCTTTTTTTTCTTTATTTTCTTAATATATTTATATTTACTAAAAATTGAAGATAGTCTTTATTATTGTACTAAATTATTCAAGTGTATAGTTTTCTTTAATATTCATAATTGTCATGTAGATATAGTTCTTATAAAAATTTATTTAAACAAGACATTCTATTATAATTATTACACCATTATTTTTTTGTTACTAGTGAATTCATTGCAGAGTGCATGCAGGGAAATTATTCTGAAGAATATCAAAGCTGCATCAGTATCAAAATTACCATTACCCAACTCTCTTAAAGAGTATCTCCTTTATAAGACTTAATTAATATTTACATATTTGTAGGTTTAGCATCCTTATTTATGTGTCCCGATTAAATTTATCTTAATTTTACCACAAAATGTTTTTTTTTATTGTTTTTATTTGTGTTAAAAAAAAAAGGAATATTTGTAAAATGCATATTATTTTAATGTAATTTTTTTATTCATTAAAAATGTTATTTATTTTTGATGTCATTATTTAAAGAAGAAATATTGTTAAAAACTAAATCCTTTTAACTAAAAATTTGTATCTGTTAATTATAGGAGTATTAGTTTGATTATAAACACAATATAATATTGAGTTCCTATAATAACTGAATCGTTGTATATATTATATTAAAAAATAAAGTTCATGATAATTAGATTTTGACTGGTAGAAAAGTGAAAAAGTTATTAGTTTCTAAGGAGTTTTTTATCTCTCGGAATACACTCAGTTAAAATATTCACATTTTTTTTTTTTAATGGTACCTAATTTGACATATTGCTTAAAACTACCAATACATTAAAAAAAAAAAAAAAAATAAATATATTTTTAAAATCTTTGATTAGGTAAATGTAATAATTTTAGCCATCAAAAACGGAAAAATGTACAAAGTATAATTAATATAAATAACAATTTTTTTTCTGTGGACAACTTTTGTACCATCAATTTTGCCCCAACTTTTAATTAGAGCAATGTTTCTAAAAGGAAATTTCACTAGGGAGGTACTTTAGAGATGTCATTTTATGATTTTCCCAAGAGTTTTCTCATCAAATTTGATGAACCAGGATAAAACATGGGAAAAACTGGAAAAATCGGTAAAATATTAATCAAATATTATTAAAAAAAAATATATAAAGCCTTTTAATTATTTTACTATAAAATGACATATATATTTGTTGACAAAGCATTACTATTAATTGAACTCCGCTCAGAATCGTTTTTTTTCGTAAGCAATGGTGTTACGGGCCGTTCGAACACAGCCTTTTGATGGGAAGATGTACGCGTGTGTCAGGTCTATAAAAATCATTCATATCTCGTCGCGTGGAATTCTTAATTTATAATTAACAAACTTTGCCCGTGACAGACAGAGTCCGTAACATTGGCTACACGGGTATACATTAAATTATCTATAACAGTGACAGCACCCGTCCACATTATCCTTGGACGTCTTTTCAATATTGTCATGTTAAAATGCCAGTAACTTTAATTTCGAATCACTCTGTGTGTATTAAATTACCTCATACATTAATAGAAAGTAGACTAATACTAGTCTACCTTACCAGTTATCAACTACACAAATTCAATGATTATTAAAAACTGATTTCTCTGTGTACATATGAATCATTTCATACGTTAAAGTTTCAATACATTTATAAAAAGTCCCCCCCCCCGGAACAGAATAGATAAGCAACACTCGTCGATTTGTTTTCAGTTTTATGGTGACCACGATTCAATACCGCGATGACACAGAGAGATTTTAGTCCCAACATCGTAGACACATACAAGAAATTCACCAGCGTAAACCGGTTTGCTTTACTATATCTCGATTAATGATTGTGGTTCAGTGTAAAAATAAACCGATTCGGTTAAAGGCCCCCGTAAACGATTCGGATTTGTTTAACAATCTTGTCCGTCTAACTTCGCGTTTTCATCAAACAATAGCGCCAGTGGCGTATTTCGCGGAAGTGCCCTGGGGGTTCACCAGGGCCACTCAATATTTTTCTTGTTCTGTTAATTACCGAAGTATCGACAAATTATTGTTGACGAATGACGTCATATTTTAAAACTCCTTTGAAAATTTTTTATCATGGATTAATAATAATTGGAGATTACCGAACGATAATAATATTAGGTTTAAACATTGTGGAACATACGAATATACAAAATGAATTAAACTGATATAGGAAATTACTCAGTGAGTTCAAGCGTTAAATTAGTTTTAATTTATTCAATCAAATCATTCATACTTAATTCCTGTCATAATTTTATTATAATCAAAAATTTAAGTGTCAATTCTAAGATTTGTATACAAAGAAATCGCCACTTATAAGGTTTTAAGGTGTATTATAATCAGGTATGAATTCGTGATGAAGCTATGTTAATATTTGTGGAGAAAAAGTATTGCCAGGAGTCGACACACACCCTCCCCCCCCCTCAAAAAATAGCCCATAATACGCCGCTGAATAGCGTAAACGATCGAATCAAAGATTAAACAAATTTGCCAAACGTTCCCGTAGTTTCGGGTTTCTCCTTGCCACGAAGTGTCGATACATAATATTTATATAATCGAAATGGTGGTTGTCAGCATTTTCCCATAGTTCTATAGATTTGTCTGATAAAAAAAAATAGCATTTTTTGTTTTATTATTTTAGAACTAATGATTTTTTTTTAAATTTACCAGTTTAAAAAGTTTTCGCCCGAATTCAAAATGTCTTACCAATCATCAGGACGTATACTAATAACGTTATCAATCTGAAACCAGATAAGAAATATTTAATTCCCGCCAATACCGATCGTTTTGAATACTTGTCAATTTATTGATATTTTAACTCAATTTGTGAAGAATTAAAAAGTCAGAATAAAAATAAAATAAATAAATATATAAAATTTCAATAAGATTCATGAATTTAATCAAATATCTCTTTTTTTTTTGATAACCTCCATTGTGTCAAGGTGATAACTGAGATCTTATTTGATAAACACCGTCGCATACAATCAAAGAGGTTTGTTAAATACGCCGTCAATCAGAATTTCCATCAAACACATGAAACATTTACATCTGGACACCAGAAATTCGTTGGTACAAACCGATGTACCGATACATTTTGTACCGGTTTACTAACACGCGATACCGATTATTTTACACTAGTTTAGATATTCGACGATGGAAATCAGTGTGGTATCCCCACCATTTGTTTAAAATTAACAATGACAATACTATCCAAAATATATCGATTTAATTAATCAATTATTTAAATAGATATTATTTGTTATTATTATTTATCATTTCGAGGGGATGAAACCGATGTAAATAGTTTGCACCATATGCATGTGAGATTGTACAGACAATTAAAACCGGTTTGTACCAACGAATTTCTCGAGTTTGATAATCACGTCAAACAAGCTTCTCCACTATCAAAAAATTTGACAGTCACGTTTGTCAAGCAAAAATTTAACAAATAATGTGATTGTCTACAGGTCACTTTAGAAATTTGTGGCACCAAACATTCAGTGATCTAACAGTGTGAGTCAGGTTTGGGTTGGGAACAGATAATTTTCGACCATCTCGCTACAGCGGTCAAAAAAAACAAAACCGTCATCTCAATTTTAAATCGGTTTAGTCCAGCGAATTTCTTAAAAGAACACCGGTTCACTCTGGCTAATTTGTTTAATATTTATGCACAATATTCTTAATTGAACTTAATATATTTTATTTATAATTACAGTAAATAAATTCATTAATATGAAAGATAGTTGGGTATTTGTGTCAATAAGTTTTATTTTATTTTACATTACAGGTGTTTACCCTAGGTACAGCAACATGAAGAGAAGCTAGTTCTCATTTTCTGGACAGTTGATGAGGTGCAGGAGAATGGTAGTAGGGAGCAAATAACCCGGAGAATACACCAGGAATCCTAAAATTAACCTCAGCAAGAAATTCAGGTGCATTAATGGAACCGTATAAAAGTTTGTTGGGGAAATTTAAGTTAAGATTTTGAGATTAATAGGTTATCAAAATAAAATTATTTCTTAATAGATAAAAGATAGGTCAATAATCTAATATAGAACTCATAAATCAAATCCCATTAATTAAGCATATAATATAATTATCGGTCTCAGGATGATGATTTTATTATAAATATAGCTTGAAATAAATCATATATATGTAAAGAAATATGGTTTGATAATAATAATAGTAATTAATGAAATGAAAATTTAATCTAGATTTCAATAATATTCAATTCAATTGACGAATTTAAAAATGATAGAATATTAGGACATACAATTAAAATTGAGTTTCAAAAGTCAATACAATATTAAAAAAAAAAAAAAACATATTTAACATATTCACAATTAGTTGAATATTGACAACGGTTTAAAATTAAGACATATATATCGGGTCATTAAATTGAAAATATTATTTTAAATGGCTACATTTAAAAATGCTGCAGTATAATAATAGTATAAATCACAAATTAATACAATTTAACTAAAATTAATGTAATATCTTAAAAAAAAGTTGTTTAAAAAAATGGTATAATTTGGAATGTTTCAATGAAATACTTATACTTAATTCTATAAATCAGTTGTTTCACTGTTGTTTAACAGTTGAGTATTCACACTTTCGGGAGTTTTTATTCGAATACGTGGTTTATCCATTCTAGGGCCATAAGTTCGAGGTTGCATTGTTATTTTTACGTCTTGATCCTGTTTTATAGTGCTACATGATTCATGAACATCTAGTTCAATATTATCTTTATTTTCAGTTTGAATTTCTATGGACTGTCTTTGTGTCTGTTTTTTTATAAATTTTTTAGAAGTTGGTAGAATATTATTATAGGGACGATAACGGACTTGGAAAATTCGCTCTTTCGGAGACTTATTTATATTGCGGTGCAGACCTAAATCAAAATAATTACAATTAAATTAAATTTTAAATCAAAATTTCTAGATTATACTTGATTGAGCATTGGGCATGGATTGCAGTCTTGGTGCGATTGGACATGTATATTTCCTTGAAATATTGTGTACATCCTCATCTTCTTCGTCAATTTCTGCTTCATTAACCTCATCATTTTCATCAGAATCTACAATTTCCACTATAAAAAAAAAAAAAAAAAAATGTTTAATGAATAAATAATGAAAATGTTAGTACTCATTACTTGAATCAGTGTTGTGTGTAACTTGTCGTATTGGACCGACAACAGGAATATATTTTTTTATCAACATTTTTGGCACACTTTCCCTTTCATCAATGTCTTCATCTTCATCAATTTCTTCTTTAATTTCAATAGGTTCCATTACTATATAATGCATATTATTAGTACAAATATTTTACATATGTTTGTATATATAATACTTGGTTGGATACTAGGCTGAGACTCTTTAGAGTTGGTAAGTGGAAAAGTATATTTACTAATATTATTAGTGTGTATACTGTCATCAATGTCTTCAAAATCATCATCAGCACCACTATCTATTTTCAATTCATCATCGCCTAAAAACAAATCATTATTTAAAATTTAGGAATTTGGCTGACATAAATTTTAGACAATTATTTAAATTATGAATTACTTAAATCTGAATCACTCGAAGTATTGGCTCTTGAAAAAGAACTACTTTGGTTCTTTTGTGATTCATTTGAAGAAACAGGTGCAGGAATAAACTCATATTCGCTATCTTGGCTATTGTCATCCTATAAATTAAATACTAAATATATATCATTTCAATATTTTAATTGGAATAACTAAACACTTAGATAGTTGAAAATTATTTTTTAAGTCACAATATTTTATGTGCTTATAATTTAACAAAAAATGTACATATTAATATTACCTTTTATTATTTATTTTATAACATTTTATTTAATTGTTTCCATTGCCACTAACTAATAAAGTCAATTTATTAATAACTTTCACTATGATAAGTACTCATAGTAATGTGTAATATTTCGCCGTTGACATGAACAAATCTATCTGCTAAAATCTGATTTTTTAGGAAACATTGAAAAACGTTTTAAAAAAATCAAAAATTTTCAATGATTGATAAGAGTAAATTTTAAAATTGTAAAACTAAAAAAAAATTCAAGTAAAAAACTCAATAGTTATTGAAAGTATAAAACTCAATTATATTGTATAAATTGTAAATATTTCAACACATAGGAGTTTTTGTTAGTTAAATTTTTAGCGAAATCAATTAAGATGTTTTTTAATATTACATAGGAAATTTTCCAATGACAATTAATAGTAGGTATTTCACAAATGATTCAAGATAGAATACATGAAAAGTTTTGTACTTAATTTGTCATTAATTCTTTCATGAAAATAGCACAGAGAAGGTATTGTCATATGATAGCATATTTTTTTTTTAAATTTAGTAATACTAAAACCTCAAAATCAAAAATTTTAATAGGTTTATAGGAGGTTTTTCACGTCAAAGACAATGAGTTGTTAAATATTTATATTTAAGTTACAATAAACCTTCGTTATACGAGGTAGTTAAGTTCAAGAAACATTGTACGAGTGTCAGAAAAAAATAATGTTTGTTACATAATAATAATAATAATAAAATATATATGTTCATTGTTATCTCATCATTAGTAAACATTTATAACAACAATATTTTGTTTGAAAAATAAATGTATCCAGTTATCTCGAATTTTGTAAAAAAGTGTAAATAAAATTTAAATTTTTTGTTTAATAATAGTAAAACAATATAAGTAAAATCCAGACTAATTTTAATCTATTTGGTCTGAGCTGTGTAAGACTAGGAATTCAAATTAAATGGTTTAAGTGTAGATAAAGTGGCACTAAGGTTAAATGCAATCTTTTCCTATATGGGCCACTGGGAGTATAGGAGTTTAGTATTCAAAAAGAAAATAGCACACACCATTTTAAACAACCTTGAAAACGATTGTTATTATGCACTCAGACTAAGATATAGTCAAAATGAGTGTATTAATTATACTTAAGTAATATCAATAGGTCCCTTCTAAATGATACCCATAAGTTCTGGTATTATATTAATGATCGCTGTAATACTTCAAGTATTTTCTATGGAATATGATTTAATGATGTGGCTTCAGGTGATGGAATTTCCGATTTGTTTGTTAGCAAATTCAAATAAATTTAAAAACCTTTACTTTCTCAGCCTAAATATCGAGCAAACAATCTAAAAACTAGAGATATCTGATAAATGTCTGTTATTATACTGCTTGTTAATTAAATCTGTAAAAAATCGTTTAGACCTCGCTTCTACCCGGTACACATGAGCTAACAATGCGCGAAACTGTACCATTCTTTTATGAGACAGACTATAGAAACTGATTCTCTAAGAAACGTTGTCTTAGGTGAACTGTGAGAATACTTTCTCGTAAAATTGCAATTCTATTCCAATAATATATTACCAATATATATTTGTGTATTTTTAAAAATTAAATTGTACGGTGTTTATTTTTTAAAAATTAAATAAAAAATACTTACATCTTTCATTGTTCTTGGGTGATCCATAAGTAATCTGAATTCTTCATCAGAAATATCATTATGCTTAAGTTTAATTCTGGGAGTAGGGATTACTTTTAAATTATTTGGTTTCGGTGGAATGAATTGTTCTTTTACTTCAATCACATCATCAGTATCGGGATCAGCGTCTTTAGAAAGTCTTGACCCTTCTCGTCGATTCAATTGCTATAATTAACATATTAATAAATAAACATAGTTTAAACAAATTAAAAATATAATTAAGATTTTTACTTCAATTATATTTTTGTTTGTTAATGATTCATGTGGTTCACTATATTCAGTGTATTTAAGTAATATTTGGTCCATGTCTGTACTAGCATACTGGTACAGCCTATTGGACTTGTTGAAAATAATTATAGCTACTTCACAATCGCATAATATGCTTAGTTCATAGGCTTTTTTCATGACGCCAAATTTACGTTTATTAAATGTCACCTACATAAAATGTAAATATATTACAAATATTATGACTATGAAAAAGGAATATATAAATATACATAATAGTTTTACAAATTACATACATGACGGTTTCGTTCATCGGTGATTTTGGATATTTGTATTTTCTTGCGGCCCATAGTTAGAAATTCCAATCAATTTTTCAACTAATAGAAAATATTTCAATTTCCTCACTAAAACAACAAGAACGAAAATAGTGATAACAAAAAATTACGTATAGGCTAGTCTGTAGACAGATATGTTTGGTAATATTGCCTTCACATGTTGTTTAATACCAACAACATCTGAAAGCGCGTGACACGAATTAAACATTAAATTAAAAATAAACATTTAAAAAAAGCTTAGGAAAGTACCTGCGTGTAAGTATTAAAATAGCTTACTGAGACGTTTTATAATTAGAACACTCTTTTCATGTTTATGAAATACAATTCAAACGGCATAGGGCATGTCTAATGAAAGATTTTAGGTTAACCAAATGGAGAATCTTATTATCGTCATTTACTTTTTTGCAGATATCCAGAGCTGAGCAGCAGCAACAGCAGGCGCTGTGGCGTGGTCGACACTCCTAAGTGGTGATAGTGTATTATGAATAGACCAGCTGCTGCTGCTGCTACTACTGCCGTGTATTATTGGTATTTACCACAGATAATAATGTATACTATCTAAGACCTTATTGTCTCAGTACGTCATTTGTACCTCGTTGACGTAATTGTTAGAATGCGTTTTGTCGCGTAGAGTTAAATAATAATATAATACCTACGTAAAAATAATCCCGTTGCACTAGTGAGTAGTAACTATAGGTGAATTTCGTCGCTAATCATTTTGGTATCAAGACGAATTGCGTCCTTTTGTAAATGAATTGTATTTATGTAGATAGTTGTGACTTATTGTGATTCGGATCGTCGCTAAAATGCGGGTTTATTAACGATACCTACCCAGAAAAACATCTTGAGAAATTTGTTTTTATTTTGGTCAAATATTTATTTATTTATTTTATTTAAATTTCGTGATTTTATTGTATACACGGTGAATTGGTAACCCGTGCATCAACAGAAATAATTTTCGTACCATCAGTGCCAAAAACCAAGAGTGGTGACTGATGGTAGGATGATTAAATATAGCCGATGACACTATATAGATCTTGTATTCTTGCTGAATCGATTGACGCAAATTTAATGAAAATCGGTTGAATAGTTTCAGAGTTTATCTTGAGGTCATAACCATAGAAGTACCTAACTATTTACCTAGTCGGTAAAAATATAGGGGAATCAATATTAACCAAATGCCATGAAAAAATAGTTTTATTATGATATTCGTGTTTCGTAGTTGAGTGGACACGGTAGGTACTCCTGTTTACTGGCCAATTAGCCAACTAGTCCAGCTAAAGGGCAAGAAATCAACAAATCGCGTAATTTAGAATAGAAATTGTTGTTAAACAAATTAAAAGAGTAGAATGTTTTCGAGGGCACCATGTTGTTTTTTTTCTAAAATATTACTACCATAAGGTTGGTATCAAACAAAAAAGTTGGAGCTGTTTCAAAGGACATATACATAGCAGATTTTCACTAGCAGGACCAATTTTGTGCTGTTGGTTTTAATATTACAGTGAATTGACCTGTTATTAAACTTAAAGGAAGAACAACATCAGTATTTGTACGTTGGTTTTTTCGTTATTTTAAAGACTGTTAGTTGGACACACGGTTTAAGATATCACGTTCTCCATCGTTCGCAAGCAGAAACCCGGCACAAGATGGCAGCACTATTATTATTCCTTCATTTCCGTCAGCATCACGAAGTACGGTACACACATTATGAGCAGGCTGTGTAGGTATTGTGCAGACGTGCAATGTTGTAACCGTGTAAGTTGTGTAGGTAACAAAATCAATGTTTTCTAAATATAATTATAATAATAATGTTCATCGATTTATGTTGCCACCGATCTATTTAAACCAACTAAATATGAATAATAGGTATTGTATGAATATATTGGTGTACCTACCTAATACATGTAAGGGTTAAGTCAATAATATTAGAAATTTACCCCGAAAAATAATTGTCACCTTCCTATTACTTATCTATGGATTTACCATAATATCATCTAGTTAAAAAGTTAAGTAGGTACTCGGTTAGTAATCAATGAACAATTTTTCAATGTTGAAACCAATCTAATCGCGAATTAAGGATTGATATCCGTTCTCTATCATATGGTCTTTGGCATTGACTTTGACGTGTATACATACCTAAGCTTTTTAATCGGTTATAAATACGGCCGACCGGTAAGCAGAGCCGGGACTGGGGCTTTCCATATTCACAAAAGAACCGAGCGATGAGACCTCTGTATAAATTCGTGTAGAATTGTATTAGTAATTTTGGCCCGTGGCTCGAATTCAACGAACACGGCATAGTATTGTTTTTTTTTTGTAGTTTCTCTACAATTGAACGATAAAGAGGATAACACATGCATTTGTTGTCTGGTGAACGGCCACCTAGATTTCCAAGATTTAAATGTCACAAAAAGGATCTAAAGAGTAAAGGATTTAAATGGCTACGTTGATCCAATTGATCGCAGGAGAACTGGTAATCAAAGGGGTCTAAATGGCCTAGCACCCCAGTCATTTAGATCCCATGAGTGGTTAACTGGATCATCATGGGTTAATTAGTTCCCCTGACACTAAATCCCTATGGCTAATCTAGATCTTAGTGAACGGCTACCTACTCGTAGATCCCCAAAATCTAAATGACACCAAAAGGATTTAAATCGTAGGCGGTCTAAAAAATTACTAAATGATTACTAAATTATCTTTTTCCGGTTATCAATATTTTTTTTTCAAACATTGTTATGAAAAACCTACCCCTATGTTCTATTAATTTTCATTCCGGTATTTTACGTTCACCTAAAATCTGCAGTTTTATTTTGTGGATTTTTATTAGGTACGTTTTACTGATATACATTATTATCAGATACCACCAAAAATAAGGAGACGTATGTGCAGTAACGACATGCTATTTTAAAATGATAGCCACACGATCGTTACATACTGAGTATAGTAGCGGCTTTATCCATTGTATACATGATATATATATCATGATCTAGGCCTCCTAGTTATTTAGATCGTAACGATCTAGGTGGTCGTTCATGGAGATCTAGATTGTCCGTGGAGATTTAATTGACAGGAGAACTAATTGACCTATGAAGATCTAGTTACCTATTGGGATTTAAATGGACGATGGATGGATGATTTAGGTGACTCTGTCGTCTCCGTCTTACAAACGTACTCCATGACAAATTTTAGTTCAGCAAAGATAATTTTGTGCAGTTAGTTTTAATTTTAGAGTGCAACCATGAAGCATTAACCTATTATCAAACTTATTAAAGGTAAGAACATTATTGTTATTTTAATTTTCAAGCGAGGTACGAATGTGTGAAATATCACGATTTAAAAATACTTATATCTTACTAAAAAAAAAAAATTAACGAAAACATTGATAAAACGCAAACAATTTTTTCATCTTCAAGTTTGACAATAGGCCAATGTCTAATTAATGCCTTAATGACTAATATAATATTAAAACTAACAGAACAGATAGTAATCTCTGCGAAAAAAAAATTGCTATGTCGTACGTTTGTTAGACGGAAACAATATATAAAATATGTATGTGTAGCGTCCTCTCAATAATTGTTACTCCGTTTGTAACTCTCCAAACATACCTTTGCTCACCGTATCAAAACAAAATCAAAAAAACAGTCGAGATTTTAATGGTTTTATATATTAGGTACGTTTTCTATATAGATATTATTGTACCCATTTATACGATACATTTTTTCTAAAATATTTATACTTACTTTTAGAATCAATGTTTTGCACCGATTATAATGTTCAAAACGAACGGTTTTATATATTTCCAAACATAAGTTTCGAACACTTTTTATCCCCGTTGTGTCCGTCCGTCCGTAGCATAATTACCAGTACTTACATCTAGTTACAGTTGTTGATTTGACTGGCAAGGAAATATATATATATATATATATATATATATTATATTTATTTAGTTATTGAAAAAAAAAAATTCGATTTACAAAAATTGTGTAACCTGATATAACAGTTAAATGTGGTGTATAGAAACAAATGATAAATATAGGTATAAGTATAAAAAAAAGAGCTAATACTGGGGACGGGTATGAGCACTATTATAAGTGGATAGTTGGGAAGGTGGGATGTACAAATCTATTTATTTTACCGGTAACTAACAATAAACCAATAATATTACCTATAGTTATCATTATTTATTTAAATATGACTTATGTGAATTGAAATATATGTACCTACCATTTTATACTGGTCGATATTAAAAAAATAAAATAGGCACCGAAATACAAGTATTTTAAAAATGTCCTAACAACTAATTACAAATTAAGATATTTAATTTATTTAGATTTTTGCACATATAGGTTACTTATGAACTTAGTAGTTCATTCAAAATTGCATACAGAATTATAGTTTATTGTATAAAATACGTTTAGAAACCGGGAACTTGGCACGCTTGTAGAGTGATTTTCTAACTTTTTTTTTAGTGTTTTCGGCGTAATTACACGATTACTTCTATTAGCCATTAATGAAATTGATTCCCTGATGTCCTGACGTTTTCTATTTTTAGTATTCTATAGGTTTTGAGCAAAGAGAGGATGAATTCATCATAAAACGAAAACTGGAATTATTATTCCAGAATAATTATTCCGGTTTTCGTTTTACTATATTATGATGTGTGCTATTCATTTGTCTGTGTACAACTTTCGTGACTAAAAGTCTTGCTCCTATCAACAACTTTATAATAACTTATTGTAATATTTTGAATGTACTGTATATAGCGGGGAGATTACGATTTAATATTCCATGTACTCTTCTTAATAATTGAATAAAACTGGGGAAACCGACAAAATAATGAAAATATTTACGCATGTATTCATCAATAATGGTTTCCCATTTTATTTGTTTGTTCTAATTTAATGAAAAATACTGTAGATACATGCGATTTTAATAGGATACATACTTAGCACTAATAATATTAGCACTTTTTAGATGAGTTAATGATTTTGAAAACATTTTAGCGATTTTTGAGTTATTTATAGCTATACTTTTAAATTTCGAGTTTTTTAGTTTTTATTTGGTGTTGTGGTTACATGTAACTGATATTTTATGCCCAGTAAAAATGCTCGAAATTTAACACGAAGACGAGGTTTATTATTCTTACGTTATAGCCGTTTTACTAAGTGGTAAAAAAAAAAAGACGTCCTAGAATAATGGGGACGGGTGTAGCCACTGTTATAGATGATTTAATGTATACTTGTAAGCATTGCTCACGAAAAAAACGATTCTGAGCGGAGTCCAGTTAATAGTGATGCTTTGTCAACAATATATATGTAATTTTATAGTGAAATAATTAAATAGACTTCATATATTTTTTATAATAATATTTGTTTAATGTTATACCGATTTTTCAGTTTTCCTACGTTTTTCCCGGTTTTCCCATGTTTTATCCCGGTTTTTCACATTTTCTAGGAAAACTCTTGGAAAATCAAAAAATGACCTTCTTAAAGTAACTCCACACAC